ACAACTTTGTGGGCTACACCGCTTCCCGAAGGAGCTATACAAGATGCCGAAGAAGCCACCGCAGGGGAAAAATGATATAACAATGAAAAGTCAGCAGATGAAAAAACGGATCATGAATTACATTTTCCTTAATTAACTGGGAGATCCCAATTCGCTAATGGTGAAAAGAAATTCACATGAAAGGACCAGACAGGAAGAGTTCTTCCTAGAACAAGGCAAGGTCAAGGTGGAGGTCACTGGCGAGGAAGTGTGGCTCGGACTGAAGCTACTTGTGTTGCAGGGAAAAAAGACTTGTTTTTAGGGACTCCAAAAGCTTGAAAATCCAAAGACAGCACAAAGGCCTCTTATTTCATCATTGCATTTTTTTTTTTAAAGGACAAAAGGGCAAGTTGGGACCAGAGCCTGCTGTGTTTTACTTTCCTTTCTCTTGTGAGTTTAGGCAAGATCTCCAATGTAATGCACAAAAAAATGTGGGTTTTTTTGGTTTTGGGTTTCCCGCCCCCTCAGGCTAGGAGTTGTTCATTTGCAATTTCTAATTAATTCTCTTAATTTGTGGCAGGTCAACTGGAGGAAAATCCTAAGCACTACAAAGAAAATATGATTTTTTTGTTAAAAATTTGCATAACCAAGATGTTTAGATTATTATTTTTTTTGCAGTCCTGGGGATGGAACCCAGGCAAATGCTGTCCCTGAGCTATCCACAACCTGACCCCTTTGACGATGATGATGATGATGACGGCTGCTCTGTGGGAGACTGAACCTAATCAGTGCTGGCTTACACCCCCATCCTTTTTTTTTTTTTTAATTTTGAGATGGGGGTCTTGCTAAATTCCCCAGGGAGGCCTTGAACTTTTGATCCTCTTGCCTCAGTCTCTGGAGTAGCTGGGATTACAGGTGTGTGCCACTATGCTTGGACTCCTAGATTATTTTTAAAAAGACCCATACTGTAAGAAATCTAAATGATGAATTATGTGTCCTTGGGTGGCCACTGCCAATCCAAGAAGGCTATTGGATTTAGGAGCTGGCTGGACTTCAGGGTGTTGGTGGAGTCAGGTGATGAAAGTCAATACTGGGAAGCTGACCAGTCATTCAGCAAATACACACAGCTGTTTAACTTACACTTGGGGAAAATCCTGATAGCCAGTGATTATACAGTAACCGTCACCACGGTTAAAACTCAGTTCTCAAAACATTGCCTGGGCTTCTCTTGCTTCCATTATGGAAATAAATTAGGAAAATTTAATCTATAGTTATATTCCTTGTTTTTATCTGCAATAGAGGTGGGGGAAGAGATGAGAATGTGAGATCAATGGAAACATCTAGTATTTGAGGGGTAAGGAGTTATGCTATTAGTTTAAGAAGTCAGTAATCCCAGCACTCTGTGAGGCTGAGGCAGGAGGATCACAAATTCAAGCCCAGCCTAGGCAACTTAATAAAACACTTTCAAAAAATAAAGAGCCGAGGATGTAGCTCATTGTGGGGGATGTAGTCCTAGGTTCAACCTCCAGTACTGAAAAAAGTCTGAATTAGGGAAAACTTGGCCATCTCATAAAATATCTTTTTAGATTGTTATTAAAAATTATCAGAGTGTCAATGTATTTTAAGCAGTCTTAGATTGTCATAATAAAGATATGAGATGCTAAATTTTAAGAAATCTAGAGTTGTAGTACATACCAATTTATGAGAAAAGGGCAAAAAATTGCAGAGTAAGTTACCTTAAGCTAAAATAGTGTTTTATTTTGGAGTTTAATTTCCCTTGTAATTTCAAGTAGCTACACAGAAAATATCAACTTGGAAATTAATGGAGGAGAAAAATGAGGGAGAAAAAAATCTAGTTTACTGAATGCATGTTTTCCTACATGGAATCTATTCTATAGTCCCATATCCTAAACTATTCCTGCTTCTTCATTTGCTATGTTTCTATCGTGTTTCTATCTTTTACTGAAAAACAGAAAACTATCCGACTTCATACTTATTTGAGTTTCTGTTTCCCAACACAAACCAGTTTCTCACACACTAGCAGAGGGATTCTGGTATGTGCGGGAGGGAAGCAGCGGAGGGAACAAAAAAGCCCAGTTGCCACCTTTGTGGAAGACAAAAGATTTAGCAGAATCCTATTGCTATGCTGTACCAAACAGACTTTTAAAATAATGAATCTTCTTACAAAATATTTTTTAAAGTTAATAGGTGAGTACTATGAAACCCCACATACCTACCCACTTGTTTGAAGAACACTGGGCTCTATCTAAAACATCTTTCCACCCTTTTCTTGCTTCCAAGTTTTCTCTCCATAAATGTATGTATGAACATATGTATTGTTGCTAAACCATTTAAAAGTAAGTCAGAGATTTCAGGACATTTCACTTTTACATACTTTTAAGATCAACAAAATGCTATCTTGTTCCTCTTACATCTTCCTTATGAGTCAACAATTCATAGTTGAACCATAGTGGCAGAAAAGTTCACAGTCTTATGCAGTATACTCATGGCAAAATCTTGTCTAGGCCCAAACAAAACAAACTGTGCTTCTGGCTTCTGTGAAACATCTCCTTTGTAAAAATGCTGAAATCGCCAGCTCTGACAGCTACTAGGGAATTAACAGCACAGGCCTTGCAGTTCAGATGGGATCTAACCCCCTTTCCTCATTCTGTAGTCCTTTTTCCCACCGGGGTAAACACCAGGGTCACAGATAAGTCTAATTTAATACACATGAACTTGAGGAGCCAACCTTTACTTCACACAAATAAAGCTGAACTTCAGTTTCCTGTACATAGGGAGGACCTCTTGGCAATTTATTATAAAGAACCATTTATGCCAGGAAACCTGTTGAGCAGGAAACCTTCAAGTGGAAACGTAGAAGAGAATTTAATGAAAGTCTTCAAAAAAGGGAAAGTTGTCTGCATTGTTCTATTTTAATAGGTCTTCTGTATTATAAAGAGGGTAAAGGACTTAGGGCTTTGGAAAAGCTTTGAACTAATGCAAAATATAGCATGCCTTCTGATCAGAAAGTAGCCCACTCCCGACTGCATAGCCTTAGCCAATATAAGAATTTGTAATTTTAAAAGGGAATTGAAGGTTTTTTAATGCCTACATTTGGTTAGAACTGAGTTAAGAAGGATCTAGAGGGCCACAACTCTCCCAGGTACCGAACAGATCAGGAAAAGAGCTACTCGAAAAGATATTTAGGGTTATTACAAAATACAGGCATCCTATGGGCTGGGAATGTAGCTCAGTGGTACCTCGCCTGCCTTGCAAGCACAAGGTCCTGAGTTCGATCCCCAGTACTGAAAAGGAAAAAATAAAAATTACAGGCATCTGAAATAGCACTTCATAAATATTATCAGACAGTGTTGCACTGAATTAGCAACATAATCTGCTTGTATTTTCTACACCTATGGTCCCCCCAAGTGAAAATTAAAGGAGACAGCACATTTTGAGGTACATGAAATACTCCTTAAATTAACTGTCCCATGATAAAAAGAAATTTATCTTTTTAAAGTTTTTCAGTGTACATTTTGCTTTATATAAACACTTCAGGTTCACGTGATTTCTTTTGCAGAATACTACAGATTAATGGATAGAAGGATGAACATCTTACATACTTTGCACTGTATCTAATACGAACCCATTTGGGGGTAGATGAGTTCCTTTTTTCAACTGGCAGGCATTAATGTATATATTGTAATTAACTTTAGAGGGAACTTGATTAGAAGCATCAGTTTAATTATGTAGTTGAAATGACAGGATTTTGAGGGGGGAAATTCACATATTTAGTTGCAAATACAAAGATGGTGGAAAGATGGTGGGGCGGCTAAGTTGACTTAATATACATTGGGCTTTGGTTTCTTCATCTGTAAAAGAGTGTTAGCTAGCCGGGGATTTTAGCTCAGTGGTTCCCTGCCTGCCTTGAAAGCACAAGGTCCTGAGTTCGATTTCTGGTAACAACAAAAAAAGTGTTAGCTAATCTTTAGGGAACCTTCCAGTTTCATACTCTATGGGATTACATCATCAGTGTGTTCTGAATGTGGAATAAATGCTTAAGAGTCTAAATTTCAGCTAAATTGGTTCTGCAGCTCAGGTCCTTCTTGGACCCTAGGATCGGAAAGCACTGGGATGAAGAGTTCAGTTTCACAGACGAGTTCTTCTGGGTATTTTTAACAATAATTTCTATCTTAATGAGAGAAAAATCAGCTGTTTCCACCCATGTCCTACCACCACACTCACCTCTGAAAACTCCCGATCGTTCAGCCTTTATCTGTCTTCCTGACAGTTTCCCTTTCCACCTAACACATTTATAAAGCGATGTCCTGCTGAGGAGCTTTAAAAACCTGCAGTGGCCCTGTGTGTGCTCCCAGAGGTGTGAATGGGCGCGTTCCCTTGAGAGAAAACAGGACAGCCTTAGGAGTGTGCACGTACTACCGTGAGGCCCATCTCCACTTCTGGGAGTATAACCTAGGAAATATCCAACTAAGTGTGCAAAGTGCAACTAAGCCAACTGAGAGTGCCACTCAGAGTGCAGATGAATGCAGGCCTGTTAAAGGGTATCCGAACCTGAGTTTATAATACAGAACATCGGTAACCAAAAGATCTAACGTCAGTGTACTAGGCGCTTGGTCACTGGGGAGGCTAGTTATTATCTTCCTTTCATGAAATTTTCCCTTTTTTCCTACAATGAATATGAATTACTTTTCCTACCAAGTTAACCTACCACTGGGTAGCATGTTAATTTACTGATTTCTTTTGCACATGTATCACACATGAAACTAGCTCTTTCACTGCTGTAACTGTTACTGAAATGTGCTAAGCCTGCAGCTGTTCAGTCCCCAAATGAGATTCAGATGGAGGGAAAAGAATAACTTACTGAGCATAACAATTATAAGTAACAGAAGCACCATTTTTTATTTTTGTTGTTTTCCTGATTTTTTCAGGAGAAAAAAATCATATGTCTTCAAAATTTCCAAATAGTTACTTCTAATTTAAAACTATGAGGGCCAGAGAAACAAGGTACTGCAGCAAACACTTTTAATAAGAATACAAAATTCACACTAGAGGCACATTTTGGGGAATGTAAATGAACTATCACAAGTAGTTTTTCTGCTGGAAGAATAAAGTAAGGCTCTTTTGGAGTACAAATGTACAGAGGGAATGATTTAAAATAAGTTTATGATTTACAGTCACATTACATTGTATTAAGCACTCAAATTAGGCATCTAATTGATTAAAAAGCTAGCTAAAAGGCATTTGAACATATATAACAAATCTTACAATCCACAAAGTTCGTGTATAACAGTAATTTCAAGTACTGCATTTCAACACAATAGAAATGAACAGGAAGAGAGATATCTCTTAAAAATATTAATTCAGGTCTATGGTAAAAATCAAAGGAACTTTACATTTAAAGAGGATCTGTTACTGAGGAACCACATGGCAGACAGGCTACTACACAACATGAAACCAAGTTCTGCATGGCTAAAACAGCACTGGCCTTTCCAATAGCCTTTCCTGTCACCACCACCTTTTCATTTGACATTTCCAGTATTCAAATGAAAAAAATCTTTCTGTCTTCCCCTTCTTTAAAAGGAATCAAGAGAAACCAAACAACAAACTCAAAGTTGATTTCACCATAAACCTCAAATGTGGTTTAATGAGAACAGAGAAACCCAACATTAACAGACACATCCAACATTATCAGAAAGGGGTTTTGTTATGTACATTGGTTAAATAAAAATTACTGTATTTGAGAAGGCACGTATCTGTGATTTAAGGCTTAAATGGTATTATTACATATGGAAGTCAAGGAAAGCTCTCTAGGAATTTACTTCTATCAAAATGCAATTTAACCAAAAACTAGCTTTCTAAATACAGATTTCTACTCTAGAAACCATCAAGAATTTCCATTCCCAAGTCCACTTGTTTTAAAAACATAATCTTAGGGCCGGGGATTTAGCTCAGTGGTTCCACCGCCTGCCTTGCAAGTGCAAGGTCTCGAGTTCAATCCCCAGTACCAAAAAAACCCCCAAATAAACAAACAAACAAAAATCTTAAAGTAGGTTTCACTATAAATCAAAAGAAAAAAAGTTGCTAATGTAACTGTTCAATGACTTTGGATGATACAAATTCACAAGCTTAAAGGCCTCACAGAAATGACAGTGTAATTCCTGTGTCTTAAAAAAAAAAAAAATCCAAACAAAATTACAGTGGTAGAGATTTCATTTTTAAAAAGGTATCTGCCACAACCCCAATGAGCCAATCAGTGATTCATTAGCACTGCCATCTCCATGGATGCTGCAGGACCATATAATTTACTCTGCAAAATAGTTTCTTTTTTCTTTAAAACAATACATGAAAATGACTCTCATAAAGATGTTTAATATATTCATATATAAAATATCTGACGATACAAATCACATAAACCTCCTTTTGGAAAAGTTACAACTGGCCCTTATTTCTAGGACCAAAAACCTTAAATTTTTATCAGTGCAAATCTATATTAGATGTTTTCAAACTACAGAAATAGCCATCAACCCTCACAATACAAAAGGATTTCTCAAAAAGGAAAATTATTGTGTTCAAATTACAGAAATAATGTCTACATTAAAACCACCCACCTTCCCATCAAATTTAACAGTTCAATTGTTAAGGTATGAAAAAGGGGAAAATTAAAGCTGTTTGTGCAAGAATCACTACAATGGTTGCCACCCCTCACCACTTCCCAACTCCACTAAACTCTCATTAGGTTTGTTTAGAACTGTAACAATTTAGCTTTCTTTTCTTTCCAGGTGAGACTTTACTGTTCTTCAAGCCAAGATGGGGCATCCACTCCAGGGGTTTTCAATTTGATATGGAACTGTTTAAGGGTCTGTTCAAGCTGCTTCTGATTCCCAGCAAAGTAGGCGGCAATGGCATTGTGGAAAAGGACCAGCTGATTGTGCAACACTTTAACCTGCGGACAGGGCAAAGCGACAACGAGCGTTTAACACCAATGACAATGACAATGACAACGAAATGGAAGGTGATTTCCTTCACCCCTTAATTAAACAAGAAAAGCCTTTTTAGTAACAATTTTCTAATTACAGTCTCCTAAAGGGAAGAAGTCAGTTAGAAATGCTAAATATATACTTTTGTAAAAAAAAATTTTTTTTCAGGGCTGGGAGTTGAACCCACGCCTTCCCCTGAGTACTCTACCTAAGCTAATCCCCAACCCTGGTAAATCATCTTCAAACATTCTTGAGTGCATCAATTAAATTCCCCCTCAAATTAAGTATATTACAATCATTAAGATACTGAAAAGGGAAACTTACAATTACTACACAATATATGCTATATACCAGGTACGGAGCTCATTAAGGCTAAGCTCTATGTAAAAATGTGTTCTGGATACTCTGAAATGTGCATTCCCTTGTAAAGAATCAAGCAGCGGCAGCAAGTGTTACCCAGAAAGGCAATTTATTTAAAGTTCATATGACTGTTATTTTCAATTGCTTATTACTTCTAATGGTAATTGTTTTAAGTACATAACACTACCGTATGAATCTTTCTCAAAGAAATAAGTAAACCACCAGAAATTCATGAATTAAGTTGCTTTCAGACTGTTTATAACTGCAAATGTTTGACAAAGTATAAAATACATTCTTATCTACCTATCAATTGAGCTAGAATGATTTTAATGGTAAAAAAAAAAATCTAAACTGTGATGCTAAGTAAAAACTAGGATGAAAATTTTTGTATGTATTCCTTCTCTCTTTCACTCCATTCCAAAAATGAATTCTAGAACTGAGCTGTTCTCAGCAGCCTCCACCCTGGGTCTGGGTCTCTCTTCTGGAGAGCAGGCAGTCAGCCTGGGCCTGGTCAGAGGATGTGCTTGAGAGTGAGAGAGCCCCTGGATGACCTCAGATAGAGAACTGCTTAATACACAAGGACGAAAATGACATTAAAATTTAGGGAAAAGATACAATGTATGTGCATTATAAGTTATTGGCAAAGGATGCATATCTAGAAAATGTGACCAACTCCTGCAAACTAAAAGCCAGCCCCATTAAGAGAGACAACATGGATAACATGTTCCCAAAGGAGGAAACAGAATAGCCAATTACACCTGAAAAACCATCTAGCCTTATTAGGGAGCAGGAAAATGCAAAATAAAACTAACACGGAATACCATTTTATACCCTCCATATTAGAAACTTAAAACAAGAATCACTGCTGTGTTGGGCTGGGGAAGCAGTTCAGGGGCAGAGCTCCTGCCTCCCCCGTGCAAGCCCCTGCCTGGGTGTAGTGCCCAGCACCATGGAAAAAGAAAAAAAAGATAAACAACATATATACTATTGATGGTATATAAACATGGACAACTACTTCTGAAAACAATTTGACATTAATTATAAAGTGAAAGATTCATATACGCGTGAAATTTAATTCCTGAGAATCAGCCGTAGAGGAAAAGCTTGATTGTGTGTTCCATGACACATGTACAATTATGTTCACAGCATACTGTTCTCAGCATCAACAACAGAAAGAGAGAAAGAAAGAAAGAAAGAAAGAAAGAAAGAAAGAAAGAAAGAAAGAAAGAGAAAGAACCCATGAAAATCACCACAAATCTGTCCTTCCAGGAGAGCGAATAAGTAAACTGTGGTTTTTTGAATACAATGGTGATGTGAGGAATCGGAGCTCTGTGCATCTGCACAGACGGACCTCAGGGACATCGAGTAAAACAAAGCAAGTTACAGAGAATACTCTTGAGTGGGATTCTATTGACAGGAAATTAAAAAATACATACACTTGAACAATATACTCATGTGTGGTGAAACTAGACTAGAGCCTGACATATAACAGCAAACAAACAGGAAGAACTGACAAATTCAGACGTAAGGGCAAAGCACAAAGGTGTCTCCAGCATTTCTGACTTGGGTGATGGGAACGTGCTGCCATTTCCTGTTGTTTTTGCTACAATTTACATTTTCCCTATATGCCACGCTGTGCTAAACATTCTTTTAAATGTACTTAACATTTTTTAATCATTAAAGAAGGAAAAAGTTATGAAGTATAAAGTCTGTCTATATCCCAACTTTGAGGAACTGAATTGTTTACAACATTCTAATGACAGACACCCCTCTTCACATTCAGAATTAAAAACCAAATGCCTGAAAGGTTCCGTACACCCACTCACACGCTGGATCAGTTTTACCAAGGGTCTGTACATGTCAGGCACCACTCTAGGGGTTGGGAATGTAGGTAACTAACAAAAAGGACAGTCATTCCTCTCTGAAGAAGTTCATATGCTATGAAGAAAAACAGGGAAGGGAGAGGAAGAGGAAGGTGTGATGTGTGTATGTACTGATACATTCAATATGTATCACAAGCATATATTAAAAAGTTAATTAAAAAAGGCAGAAAAAAGTAAAATACACAGTATGTTGGACAGTGATACATGTTACAGAGAAAAAGCAGCACTGGAGAATATGTGAGTGAGCATGTTGCAACTTAAAAGGAAGGCTTGGGGAGATCTGGGTGAGTGACAGCTGAATAAACACCTAAGGAAGTGAATGAATAAGCCCTACGATATCTGGAGGAGAAACGCTGTAGGCAGGGAAAACAGCAAGTACAAAGGTCCTGAGGTAGGCAGTGTGCTGGGTAAGGAAGAAGCAGCACTGAGGGCCGTGTACTGAGGAGAGCTGAGGAAGGGTTTGTCAGGAGATATGCCAGGCAAGTAATGGGGCCGGATGGCACAGGACCTTAGCTCTCATCACAGAGACTGGCTCCATTTCTGAGTGCTGTCAAGAGCCACTGGAGAGGTCTGAGCAGAAAAATGACAATATCTGAGTTCATTTAGTAAATACTAAATACATAAGAGTGAAGGGAGGGGCCTTCAGTAGTAAGCCCGGTAAGCTGGGGACTCCTGCGGTACCGGAGACAGGTGATGAGGTGTGCTTCTGAACAGAATGGGAGGGGACCAGCAGGATTTGGGGACAGATTGGGTCCTAGGGCGTAAGAGGAAGAGAAGGGTCAAAGATGATGCCAAGACTTCTGTCCTGAGAAACTGAAAGAATGAAGTTGCCACATACTGAAACCGGCAAGACCGTACGAGGGGAAGGCATGGAGGAGAAGTAAAGGCTGGCACCAAGAGCTCAGGTCGGGAGAAGTTTCAGACACCTTTGCCAACAGCAGCCTGCACTGGAGTTGTCATTTGGGAGCCATCAACATACAGGTGATATTTAAAGCCACATGACTAGGTAAGCTCATCAAGAGACTGGGTAGACAGAAAAGTCATCCAAAGATTGTTATAAACATGTACCTTCACCCTTGTATCTCAAAACATCTGAAATTCTGCCCAAAATGAATCATGGAGCTAAATGTCAGGGCTACAGTTATAAAATTTACGGAAGAAAATATGGAAGAAAATCTTAGTCAAATGAGTTTGGGAAGAGTTTCAAAGAGTACACACACACAGTCAGGGCAGTGGCACACACCTACAAACCCGGAGCTCCGGGAGGCTGAGACAGAAGGACCCCAGGCTTGAGACTAGCCTAGCTAACTTAGTGACTGGCAAGATGGTCCCCAAATGAAAAATGGGCAAGGGGTACAGCTCAGGGCAAAGACCCTGGGCTCTTCCTGACTCACAAAGAAACAAACAAAACACAAAGGCATAAATTATGAAAGAAAAATATCAATAAATTGGACTTCATGAAAACTAAAAATATTTTCTCTTCAAAACAGACTTAGAAAACTGAAAAGGTAAGCCACCAGCAAAATCTGTATCAAAGAACTTGATTATAAGAGATATAAACTGCAATTCTCATATACATTTGGTGGGAATATAAAATTGTTTAACATTCTTAGAAAAGTTTCTTAAGAAGTTGAACATATACCTACCGTATAAACCAACTACTCCTCTCCTTGGTATTTGCCTGAGGGACTGAAAGTCTATGTCCAAAGAAGGAATTGTACATGAATGTTCCTAGTTTCAGTTGTAATAGCTTAAAACTGGAAATAACTCAAATATCAATGAACAGTGATTAGATAAATAAGCAGGGATATTCCCATAATGACTACGACTCAGCCATGAAAAATGAGAAAGTAATAAATGGAACGTGGATGAGCTGCAAAAACATTGTGTTTACTGAAAGAAAAAAAAAAAGAGTATGACCTGTTTGATTCCATTTCTGTAAAATTTAGAAGATGCAAGCTTTTCCACTTTAAAGGCCTTCATGCTAGTAACCCAGTGTAAAATCGCACGGCAATGAGAGACTTCTTGTACATTCACTGGGAAGTCCAGCACTTCCACAGATATTTTACTGCTCTTTGGATCACAAAAATTTTTTAGAGAAGAGAAAAAAAAGGGGAACATAGGCTTTCATTCAAGTACTGGGGCTGCAGCCAGCGGTAACAATAGTTTAGAAAGTAACAGCCAGAAAGAGGGAAGAGGGTCAAAAAGTTTTGGCTAACTCTACAAGTGTCAACAAAAGTCAGCTCCTCCGTAGCCGAGGAAGAATTAAAGCCCACTACATCCCAAGCTGGGGCTATCAGCTGTGCTGAAAATGGTCCCCACCCCACAGTGAGACTTTATCCAGGGAGAATCAAGGTAGGAGGGTGCTCATGAGGACCGAGTCCTGGTTTTCAAATGCAACCGTGCCATTCCCATGCACACAAAACCATTCTGCACTACTGTGAGAAGGCTGATGAGTGAAGCCTTTTAAAATATGCAATACATGCCAGAGCAGCTGCCGGTAAGACAGCGATCCACAGCTTTGCAATTATCATGTAAAAACAAACAAAACCCCAAATGTAAATAAAGTATAAAATTCTATCCTCACTTTAATATCAGAAGCTATTTTTTTCTAACAAACTACACTGGACCCTCGAGCTACAACCAGCCTGACATATGAATAACTTGGATTATGAATGGAATTTTAGTTTTTAACTTATGACCAAGGCCTTGAGTTACGGTCTGAATGCTGGCTGCTTGTGTGGTTGTAAATAAGGACTCGATGCCAGAAAAATGTATGTAAGTGTACATAAGCGACAGTCTGAGCCCAGATGAGCGTGTGTAGATGTGATTTTGGTCAGTGCTTTATATAATCACTATGATTACTGCTATCAAAATGGCCCCCCAAAAAGCTAGAAAAGAAGCTAAGGAAAGAAGGGAAGACAGAAACAGACAACCTTAGACCAGTTTATAGTTCTGAAAAGGCTCAGACCTAGTGAGCCAGAAGCTGGTCCAAGTGGGCTACAGACTCTCCCAAGGAGAGAAAGGACACCAGAGAGCCAGATTCCTGGTGTTCTGAGGGCAGGGGACGCTCCTTCCAAACAGTAAGCACCTTCCTTTTTATCCTCCCTTCCCGCAAGCCAAGGATGTCAACTTGAATGGTGAGCACAGAATGAAATTATTGTTTCTGGTAAACTAGGCACATTTTATAACTGTTTGGTGAATACACTAGAAAATTATTGGTGTTTCTCGTAAATTATGAATATTACAGAACCCCTTTTTATTATGAAAAGGTTAGTTAAGGGGTGTTTTGAGAGATTCAGAATGCATTGAGTATTTCTATTATTTCTTATGGGAAAAATAATCTTGACTTACAACCAACCTGAGTTACAACCAGCCCATGAGAACAAATTGAGTTCGTAAGTCAAGGGTCCATGGTAATTATTTTTTCTTTTTCTTTTTTTTTTTTTTTGGTACCAGGGATAGAACTCAGGTCCTTGCGCTTTCGAGGCAGGTGGCAGAACCACTGAGCTAAATCCCTGGCCACTCTATCTTATACTAAAACAGAAAACTTAATTTGTTTTTCTATCAGCATTGATTACATAACTTAGTATAGTTTTGGTAATAATACTTCATCATCAGATGCAAATTTAAGTAAGAACATTAAATTGACATTTTTATCCAATTAAAAATTACTAAATAAAAATAAAGGAAAATCAGAATAAATCAATTCTCAATATGAATATACGTTTTAAATTTACACTATAATATGCATTCATACAATGCCCCATAGTGCAGTTCTGCCTGATACACTACAGATAATTTCCAGGATGTTTTGGCTATTAAATGAACAGAAATCATTACTAATTAAAATGAGTAATTAAGTAGTATTAGAAAGGAAGTTACAATTCTACAATTTAAAAAATAATTAATTTTCACAATTTTGACCATCCCTAATCTGAAAATCCCAAATCCAAAATGCTCCAAAATCCAAAACTTTTTGAGCTTTCACATGATGCTGTGAGTAGAAAATTCCATACCTGACCTCATGTATGGATGGCAGTCAAATGCAGGTGGACTGAAATAGCATACAAAACTATATTCAGAATGTAAGATATATATGAAATATAAATGAATTTCATGTTTAGTCTTGGATCCTATCACCAACACATCTCATTATGTATATGAACAAATTAAAAAAACTCGAAAATATCTGAAACTCAAAACACTCCTGGGTCCCGGGCATTTCAAATGAGGGATACTCAACCTGTAATGGCTCTGCTGTAACCATATGAGTAGTTCTGACACTACATAAAAGTGTTATTATATTTATTATAAAGTATTCTTTATACTTTAGAGTATTGACCTTGAAGAAGTCAATCTAGGAAAGATCAGAGATGGTTTAGGGAGAGAAAGTTAGGTGGGGAAAAGATTAAATCCTACTTTAAGGACAAAGAACAAAAAGCCAAAATGTTCCAGGAAATATTTCAAGTTCATTACATTATTTCAATTCACTTCTATATTTAAGTTATCAGACTGTGAAACCTAAGAGGATACAGAATCAAAGAATGAGCCAGTATTTTTGCTAAGCTATACTGTAACATGATGATTAAACTTACTTTTCGGCAACAAAATAGTATAATGAATATAATGTTATTTTTCTATCTATGCTGCATGGTCTATGATCTCCACATTACAGTCAAGAAGCAAAACCCAACCAATCAACAACAAAACAAACTCAGGAAGTTAATTAAGTTGCCTAGGCTTGGACTGCTGCGAGGCAGACAGGCTGGCATGCAGGGAACTGAGAAATGTCTTATTCCACAAGTAGTTCATGCTTTTTCACCTAAACTAACCTGTTGCTATTCCCAAGGCAATTAACATTTTAGAAGACTTTTACACAAACGTTTAAAACAAACAAGGGCAGCAGAGCACTTATAAGAAAGGTAGGAATGTAGAAAATATATACTTCAACCTCTTCCCTAATTTTTTTCTCTAGCCCTGAAGTCACATCTAAACCTCCTTGGGACAAGGATTTAACATAAAGCCTGGAGCAGATGAAAGAAAAGTTAATTCTCTCTAAAACTATGAAGAATAATACAAGATTAAACTTTCACATACTCTTTCCATAGAGAGAGCAGGAAAAAACATCTTTCTTGAACTGTTTATATCCTAATGGAAAAAAATTAAAGTGGTTAAAATACAACAAAAAAGCAGAAATTTAAAATAGGAGCAAAAGAAGTAATAATTATAGGTAGAAATAAGATGATGACAAATTTGACAAATTTTCAAAACCTAACAGCAGAAACAATTACAACAATGTGGAAATACACTCAATCATTGTGAGCTCAATCACAAAGAACTTTCATAAAGATCTGCCAAACAATGAGCAACCCAGATCAGATACAAGCAAAACCACGACGGCAACATCTGCCGAGTGACCTAACGCACCACACAATACTTTAATTGTTAAAGGGCGAAGCAGATTCCGACGTGGCCTCCTAAGGCCGGACAAACGGGGTTCTGAGGGGAATTGGGGTGAGAGGAACTGAGGCGCAGGGATGACAGACAGTGCTACTGGACGACAATGCCCAGGACTTTCACAGCCGCGCAGACAGTGTCCTTAGCACACGAACACCATTTACAAGTGCCCAAAAGAACAGCCGAGCATCACACAGGTAAGTTATTTTTATCAAATCTACTTTTTTCCAAATCAAACTTAGATTATCTACATTATCAGAAAATCAATTTAAAAACAAACATTTTCCAGTTAAAACAAGTCATAACCCAGGTCTTCAAACTGGTTGTTGGATTTCTGAATACCAATGAAGTAGAGGTTTAGATTAGTAAGTATACAAAAATACTGGGGCAGTGGCTTGGGTTGAGCATGTGAGGAAAAAGAGGACCCAAATCATTCTTTAATGAGCAGTCCCCAACCACTGTCACGTAGGGTGTGAACTCCTTTCTTTACGCCCTACTATTTCAAAATCACCACTTATATGCTTTCCCTGCCCACTATTGATCTTTTTGTAGTAAGCAAGAGACTAGAAGAGTAATAAACAGGCAAGTAGAACTGTCTTGCCTTTTATGAGGTTTATAGAGTATAATTTTATTGGTTCATAATAGCTTTGGAAATGCCTGTCATGTCAAAGCAACTACCAGTTGAGAAAGAGAAACACTATCAAAAATATGGGTGTGGGCACTGGAAAAGGAGGGAGAGAAGGAAAGACAAATATTAATTACAAGTGGGGGTGGAAGAATAGATTTTATTTTTCTGACTCATTAGGATAGGTTTCAACGAATCACTGACAGGTAGAAGGTTAGAAAAAAGAGTGCTAGGGCTGGAGATACAGCTCAAGAATAGCATGCTTAGCTACCATGTGCAAGGCCCTGGGTTCAATCCCCAGCACTGCAGATAAATAAAGTTTTAAAAAGTAACAAACAAAGAACAACAACAAAAACAAGAGGAACTCCTCAAAGGAAGGGGGGATGGTAGTTCTTTACTCTGAAAAGAAGGTAACTAGGGCAATATAACTTGCAAAGTCTGGTAAAAGTAGATCAAGGAACTTCAATATCTTTAGCCTTAAAATTCTGAATATGGTTCAATATTCAGCAGAGAGAGAGAAAGGCGGGGACAGGAAAAGGAAAAGGAAGAGAAAAAGAAAACAAAAAAGAAAAGAAAGAGAAAAAGAAAGCTTGTTGGCATGGTCACACATACCTGTGGTCCCAGCTACTCAGGAGCCTGAGGCAGGAGCCTGGGCTAGAATGGGCAATACAGTGAGACTTTGTACATCTTAAAAAACAAATTCTGAATGCAGAGATTTTTTTCATCCATAGCCAGAAATGTCTGTTGTCTTTTTTACTGTGATTTACAATGTTAGCTCCTTACTCTAGTGCTGTGTGCCTTAATAGTAGGAAATTAATATAGCCGGGAGAGAAATGCAAGAAAAAGCCTGATGGGTAGAGGAGAGAAAGGGGAAGTGGACGGGAGAGGGGAGGGGAGGGAAGGAACTCAAGTTCCTAGAGGAAACAAACTTGCATAAATCATTCAAATTAGCACCTGCTTGCCCACTCCGAAATTGACTTAGGTACAAAACAGTAGTTACTGAATTGGGTGTTTCTTGCTATCAATTCGCCGTGAGACACAAGGAGCTTGGAGGTTACACTAACCTCACAGAGGAGCGTGGTAATCATGGGTTTGAGAATGTTGGACGCACTTTCACAAAACCCCACAGAAGGCTGGAGACACACACCAGGGGAGGAAGACCCCGGGGGTGGGGGGATGACAGGAGGCCACCAGCAGTAGAAAGAGAAAATCCTCCCACCCGCAGCGCTTTCCGCCCTTTAACCCTCCTACGATTTCTCCTGCATTCACACCCTGCCCCTACCTCAAGGGCAGAATTAGTTCCTGTTCCTTTATCTCACAAAATCCCTGCAAACTTCACAGAAGAGGGAGAAGACCTGCAGGCAGGTACTGGGAAGGGTGTGTCACTGAATCCCACCAGATGACAGGAACAGCTCTGGTGGAGCCCCGTGCTAATGCGCAAAGGGCCGAGCGTGGGTGGACATCGTGACATCACTACAGGACCAGCAGACCTGGGGCACACTGGCCATGGACCCTGGGCGGGAAGAACTCGGGGTGAAGCCACGGCCCACCCACTAATCTTTACACTCACAAAAGTCTTGCTACCTAGGTGTGGAGATGTCAGGGAGAACTAAAAAAATAAGAACCCAATCTTCTGTAACTTACAAAATTCTGATTCTATTCATCCAGCAACTATAAACTTAGTGGAAAACCTTCATCAAAATTTATGATAAAACCACTACTTTTCTTTTTAAAAATCTGTAAGCAATAGTACACTTTGCTTGAAAAAGAGAAGAGAAATTCAACAGGTTGACAAACCGTGAACACCTCGCGCAGTTTCTCCAAGGGTTTTTCTGAGCCTCTGGCAGGCACCTCTTCACTTTCTTCATCAAATTCTGTATTTCTCCCTTGTCATCTGTAACTCAGTACTCTGTACGTAACAGATTTTATCAAATGTCCTTCACCAGACTGAAGCAGCTTGGAGTCTCCCGATACCTTTATAGTTTATTTCTTTAGGAACAGGCACAGTAACAGTCCAAATCAAGCACCTTAAAAAACGTTATGTGTGAAAAGAGGATCTCTTGGAAATTTCAAGGAAGAAACAAGGACAGAAAATCAGAATGCTACTAAGTCCAAGAGGAATAAGAAAAAAACCTTGTTATCAAATGATTTTCTTAGTCAAACAAAGTACACACGCACGAAGGAAGGCCTACTGGGCCAGCACGCGAGTGCTGAGTCACCCTGAGAAGGCCCAGGAAAGGGAAGAGGGGCACTGCTGCTGTCCTGAGACACCTCGGAAATACTAACTAACGGTCTTACATTTCAGCAGACCCAAGACACTGACTGAGAGGTGAAGAAGTACAGTGATGTCACGGCCACAAGCACCCACAACGCTACGACTGCTCACAGCGACCGCACCGAAAACCTGGCAGAGCATCCCGAGGAGAACAAGCAACTGAAAGGGCTTTGGGAGGAGCACACGGACGGGAGCAACCACCTCCCCTCCCCTCCCCTCCCCTCCCCGGCGGCTCGTCAGCACGCGTGGCTGAGACATCCATTGCTCTGTGAATGCTCTCCCCTCGACACTCAACAGGACACTGAAACCCCAGCCCCACGCTACACATGTGAGGTTCTTGCTTCTGAGCAGAGGGTCAGAAAACATGAGGCCCAAGTGGCTGCTGAAGTCCAGTTAAAGGTATGAACCACTAATTCTTGATTGTAAAGCTACTCCTTTTAATTACGTACAAAATAACTTCTACAAAACTATCACCTTATGTAAATCTGAGCGTCACTAACAAGCCACTGCCCGGACTGGGTGGCCAGACCACTCCTCCCTGCCAGCACCCACCGGCCTGGCCTCCCAGGCGACCCAAGGCCTCTGATGATGCTGGGGAGCCACGGCTGGACGAGTCTACCTTTGAAGCCAGCCTCTACTCACAGCTGTTTTTGACTGCATGGTTTATATAGGGTTAATCTCTGCCTCAGTGCGCAGAGAAAAGAGCCAATGCAAAGCACAAGCAAAATTTTCTTCCTCCATGAAGGTTTAGAAAAAAATTAAAGTCATTTGTAAGACAAACTACTGAGAACAGCAAACACCGCACCATGTGAAAATATGTTCTTACATAAATGAAAAGTACTGTATCATGTCAGTTCTACTCTGTCACTCAAGAGTGATGTAGGTAACATGCCCGAGCAAGTTAGCTGTTTTCCAGTCTCCAACCCAGAACTGCTCACTGGGTGGAGCTACATCCCCAGCACCACCTGCCCTCAATTTTAAATTCTGAGGCCGGGTCTAAGTTACTAAATTGCCCAGGCCGGGCCCAAATGTGTAGTCCTCCTGGCTCAGCCTCCCAGAGCGATGGGATTACAGGCCTGCCACCAGATGATCACTGGATTTTAAAGCAAAAAGGGAGACTATAGGCTTTACTATGTTTGGGAAACAGAAGGCTATTCTAACCTCCCTTGGAAAAATGATAAGGACGCTATGTAAAGAAACAAACATTTTCTATCTCTACTTTTCTTTTAAAGTACATTTTAATTTTTGGATAGGTAGGACTTTCTGAAACGGGGTCTCATTGTGCTGCCCATGCTGGTCTCAAACTTGCAACCCTCCCGCCTCAGTCGTATGAGTAGCTGGAATCACAGGTGCCTGCCCCTGCACCCAACTGCAGCGGGACATTTGTATATGTAAAAAAAGGACACAAAGGGTTTAAACCAGAGTCTTATTTTCATACTGTCTCTATCCATCTGGCTCCCATTACGAGTAATTTATTTTACTAATTAGCTAATCCTTCCAGTTTTTCTTTGTAGAAGCATAAAAACATATGACTGCACATTCTTATTGTGCTCCTTTCTTACACACAAGGTATTGTACCACGCGCAATCCTTTGTGCTCCGTTCTTTTTCACTTAATAGTATGTCCTCAGGATCTTTCCATCCATAGCATCTTTATTATTATTTTAACAGGTGGAGAATATTCCACGGTATGAGTCAACCAGCGGATTCACTCAGTCCTCTACCGAGAACTGCCAAGATGATTCTCATTGCTCCGGTTACAGTGGCATTGCAATGCGTGACCTCGTGCCTGTCATTTTACCTCCTTGGGGCCCCGTTGACTTTCCAGCTGCACCTGGAGGGAGCTCTTCTCCCCGCCCCACTCTCCTGTCTCACTGACTGTCAGCACAGGCTGTTCCTGTTTCAAATTCTCTTCCTGGTGGGGGGGGGCGCGCACATGTTTGTAATCCCAACACTCTGGGAGGCTGAGGCAGGAGGATGGAAAGTTCAAGTCCTGCCTGGGCAACTTGGTGAGATCCTATCTCCAAAAATTAAAAGAAAGGCTGGGGGTGCAATTCAGTGTGGAGGTCTGGGTTCAGTCCCCAATACTAAAAAACAAAAGAAAAGAAATCCAACAACAAAACAACTCTCCCCGCAGACCTCCAGTCCACTGCTTTGCATTCAGGTTCGGCCTCAATGTCACCCCTCAAGACAGCCTTTGAGATGCCCGCACCTGGCCGGGGGTCTGTCTCCTATGTATGCACGGTCTCCCTTCATGACACCCACCATAGCTCGTATTTATGTAACTGCTCGGTAAATGCTTAGCTTCACTACTTGACTACTTCCCTACTTGACAAGACCTCTACAACTCTTTGCCGACAGAGCGACTGGACCATGCATGGAAAAGCAATCTGTGAGTATTTGCTGAATAACAGAAGAAAATGCCAATCATGCCAATTACAGTAATTACAATCAATCTGCTCTATTTCACATGTATTCCTGTTTTTACCTTTTAAGTATCTGACACTTAGTTCATTCCATTTCTTCTACTCAAGTTCCTATTGTCTAAACTACTGTGTTCATTCTTAGGTCCTACTAAAACCTGTCCTTTATAATTTAGATCTAGGCCAGGGATTTAGCTCAGTGGCCCCTTGCCTGCCTTGCAAGTGCAAGGTCCCTGAGTTCGACTGCCGATACAAAAAAAAAAACTTTTGAATCTAGCATTTGCCAAGAATTCTTTCAAGGGCTTTACTGACATTAAAGCAGACTTTCCCTCAGTGTGGGAAGGCCTGTATGGCCTCACTTATTTCTAATCAACTCTATTTTCCAGTCACATCCATTCTGACTATACCACCCCCTCTGCTGCCACAGGGCTATTGTACATGCTGTGTTCCTTCTGCCAAGAATACTGTTTTCCAATTACCTAGTTAATAGTCAACATCACTTCCACATCACTTTCTCTATCAAAAAATTTTTTTCCTGGTACTGGAGATTTAATCCAGAGGTGTTCTACTACTGAACTACATTCTCTCTTTTTATTTTGCCCAGGATGAACTTGAACTTTACAATCCTCCTGCCGCAGCCTCCCAAATAGCTGGGATTATAGCCCCCATTACTCTTAACTGACCATGTTCCTATCCTGGAAAGTCACAGTCAAACTTTCATACACACACCCACATCCACACCCACCCACCCACCCACATGCACGCACGCACATAATACACACATGGAGTGATTTGATTGAGGTTGTTATTATTTTTTTTTTTGGTACTGGGGATTGAACTCAGGTCCTTGTGCTCGCGCAGCAGGTGGTGAAACCACTGAGCTAAAATCCCCGGCCTGAGGTTGTTTTTCTTACTAGGCTGTACATTCTTTGAGGGCTGAACTGTATTTACCTTTTTCACTGGGATCACTGATATCCCGGACACTTCCTGACTTTCTGGCACACAGTATATGCACAATAAATGTTTGTTAAATGAACAAAAAAGAAAGAACAGCAGCAACACGAAGTTATATTGAATTATATGATGAAACACAGGCAGCAAAGCTGCAGGAAGAAGAGAATGTTTCCCAGACCCAAATGTGGCTGATCACAGTTGGCACAGTGTTGGAAGGCCACTTCTCTTGTGTCCAGCACTACTAGCTCCCTAGTTGCCTAACACACTTCGACATTTAAATCTGTTTACTTTTTATTTAGAAACAAATAGGGTTCTTTCACCTATATGACTTAATTTCACTTGATCAATCGATTGATCCATCTATCTCAAATACAACCATTTATGTCTCTAAGGTACAGAAATAAATATGGTTTGAAATCATTAGCATAAATATATTAAAAGTACTCAAGGCATAAGAAGTTAAGGTACTTTTGACAATGGGGAAAAATGTTTTAAGAATGAATCTGCTTATAGCAATTAGATAATGATTAACATGCTCCTTAAACTTTAGCACCAAATACCACTTTTAAATCCAGAAATTTTGGGCTGAGGCTATGGCTCAGTGGTAGAGAACTTGGCCAGCATACATGAGGCCTGTTAAAAAAAAATTCAGAGGTTTACATTTTTTCCTCTCAAAGAGAAGTTTTAGTAAACACAGACTATCTTTTCCACGTCTTTCAAGTAGTATATCTTTACAAGAAAGTACTAGGCTCTATGCACTTCCTAGTACACGATATATCTGTATAACGTGAGAGCCACTGCAATTATATTTCTTCCTGTCTTTTACCACGAGTCCATTAACTCATTCTAGGTTTTCTAGTCTTTGTTTTGCTCCTCTTTTTTCTGTCCAATGACTTTATTCTGTTCATTAAATTTTTTCTAAAAAATTAAATTCATAGTAAAATACATATAAAACAAGTTTAAAATATAACATAAAAGAAATAAAGTATTAATAGTAGGCCAGACATTCTGACAGATTATATTGTGTTTAGATAGAAAATACTGCACGAATGAAAATAAGTCAATTTAAGATTCAGAATGACTAAAGTTTTTAAGAAAACAAAATTTTTAACTTAAGTAACTATACTGGATCCAGGATAGATCCTAAGTCTGGTTCATCTTTTTCTGTCCTCTTCATCATCCTTTAAGACACTAAAATATAAAATAATAATTAAATAAGCCTACAATTAATGATTATGGCTAATTAACATTACCATGAAGAATGTATTTTATCCTTCTTAAAATAAGAATATAATATGGGCCGGGGATTTAGCTCAGTGGTTTCGCCGCCTGCCTCACAAGCGCAAGGACCTGAGTTCGATCCCCAGTACCAAAAAAAAAAAAAAAAAGAATATAATAAAAAAACCCTTACTTTTTATATTTATACCCCAAACAGTTTATTGGACCTTTTGATACATTCAGTGCCAACCCCCCATATATTCATAGCCTTAAAAAAAAGATTTATTGGGGCCTGGGATTTAGCTCAGTTGTTCCGCCACCTGCCTCACAACCGCAAGGTACTGAGTTCGATCCCTGGTATGAAAAAAAGAAGAGATGTATTGTTCTCAAGTTCAATTATGGTCATCTTAAAGGGAAAAAACCTTTTTTTTTTTTTTTTCCTGATTTGCAGTGCTGGGGCTTACGCCTAGGGCCTTGTGCATGTGAAGCAAGTGTTCTGCTGCTGAGTTACGTCTTCAGCCTGAAAAATTAATCTTAACCCCTGCACACATTCTATGTAGTTCCTAGACATATAAAGAGTTGTTTATAAAAAATAAAACAAGTTGCTGATGTTGATCTGGATGTTTTTCTGTACCTTTTTGCTTCCTCCTCCTACGCAAGTGCTGCAGGCAGCGGAACAGTTTCATAGAGAATATGCTTTGCCCACTAAAGGAGAGGGAAGTGATCAGATTTGCCCTCTTATCTCCTCCTAGTAGACTCTCACATGCTTCCATGTCCATGTTCCCCCATGTGCTGCATTTGCTGAATGGATTTGCTACACTAAGCCACACTACTGCCTGGGAAATACAAAGGGCACAAAGCACCAGAGAGCTCTGTTTGCTTTCTCTTAACTAAGGTGGCCTATATTTTGCTTGGAACCATAACAAGTAAGCAAATGGCCTTAATTCACAAAAAGATAAAAGATACATATTTAAAGGTCTTTAAAAGGAAAAATATTTGAAGAGTCCTATTAACTGTGTCCTTATTGCTATGCAACTCAATGTTGTTTAGTAAACAAAGAAAAGAATAGCAGAGATTAATAAGAATTGTTTTGGATAATGACAAACACAAATACCATGGATAGAGAGATAGAAAATATAGGTTATACATAGAACTCAAGTTTCTTATTAACAGTAAATGAAATATTAATGCATGCTCACACACACAGAAATGTTATCTTATATATCTACCCCTCTTTAAGTTTGCCAGAGGAAAGAGGCTAGACTAAGAACATACTATAAATACCTCATTCTAAAATATAGCTCAGAGCCTAATTCCTGATCTGCCTCGAAATTTTTTTTAAAAGTTTCAGAAAAGAAACAACAAAAACACTAAAACTTCCTACTGCAATTACAGGGCTCTTAGTCCTGTACTCCAGGCCCATTTGCTTCTGCTTCATGAACTATTCACCACTGTAGGAGAGAAGTCAGGCTGAGGGTGTGGCTCAGCTGGCAGAGTGTGTGCCTAAGGACAAGTGTCACTATGGAACGATTACCCCATGAATGAGAACTGATGGAAAGCAGCCTCCAGTAAAAAATAAGAAGAAAGAAAAAAATGAAAAGGGCTGCAAAAAGTTGTTTACCAGGTCTTCAGAACATCAAATTACAAAACAGCACAATGAATGTCTAAGTTTGTGAAAATATCAATATACAATATTTAAGAAATAGGAAAATTATATTTTGTTAAAATTCAAGGACTAAGTTGATTATCTGACATCTGTGCAGAGCTGTTAAGGTACAAATTCAGTTGCAAGTTAACAAAAAAAAAATCCAGATTTGAAGTATTTCACACTGCCAACAAGGCAAACTGGGATGAGATTTTCTAGGCCTAACAACTTGTTTTACCTTTAATTTTTTTGATGCTATTAAAAATAAAAGTGAACACTGCTCAACGACAATAACAAAAAATTTAAAAAGTTCTCTCGTGGATCTAAGTCTTCGTCCAAATTATAGTTACTCCTTGTTTAAAATAACAGTGGCAATATCTCTTTATAGTTTTGAGGAATAAAAAGATAGGAAGAGCAAAGATTCCATATAAACTTTATTTCAGAATAGCTGATTGCTGAGTTCAGACTGAAATCTAGCTTACCAACAACCGTGGAAAGCTAAAAACAAGGAACACCTCAGGCCACGTGCTAAAAGGGCCTGACTGTGCCCACTAAATTCCGATCTGAAACCCTCACCATCAAGGCAAGGTAACAGGTGGCGAGGGATGGAGCCCTTCTAAATGGAATTAGGGCCTTCCCCAGGGCCTGAGGGAGCCCACTTCCCTTTTCCAGTGCAAGGGCACAGCAAGAAGGAGCCATCTACCAGCCAGGTGCTGGGCCCTCACCAGGCACACAGTCTGCCAGCCGGTTGCCTTGTCTCAGACTTCTCAGACTTCAGAGATGGGAGAAAGACATTTCTGTCACTTATGAGCGAGTAGCTGTAGTATTTTGTTACAGAAATCTGTATGGACAAAGACACAATCTAAGCACATAAGATCCCTGAAAACAAGCAATTCTCTATTTTTAATTTTATCGTCAAAAAGAAAAATGGTGATAATGACATTATTCTCAAACCAATGACTTTCAAAGCTTTATCTCCGAAGCCCTGACCTTGTTCATCCAAATTCCAAACACACATCATCAATTTCCTACCAACTATTTCCTCTTGAACATTTTGTCGTCTCAAATTAAACACTGGGTCACTCCCTGCAAGCCAAATCAGCCTCTTATTTTGATTTTCCAATCCCTGTCATGCTGTCTAAAAATCAGTGTTCTTTCTGTTCCACTGCTACTACTAAAACCCTCTAGGGTAGGCTCTTAATCATTTTATCTGGTTATAAAAAAAATCCCTCATGGGTTCGTGTGCTTCTATTTTCATTCTTGCTTTACACAATGGTGACTGCTCTTTCTAAATCTTTTTTTTTCTCCTACCACTTTCAACTGTAAAAAAATTCTTCAGTGCTTACAAGACAGAGATAGAAGTGAGATCCACCCGAGTAGCGTTACAATTCAGAGCTGGCCTGGCTGGCTCTCAGGTGTTTCCCCCTCTGCCCGCTCACTGTGTATCTTTTTGAGGCCACTTGGAGTCTCCACAAGGTCAAGGCTTGGTATGATCTGGCGCTCAGTGACCTTCTGATTCCACCTTCCATTAAAGCCCATGAATCTTAACATTTCTGTTAGTCTTTCCCTATCAAATATGTGTATTTCTCTATTATGCCTCTTTTAGCATTGCACTGTATAGTGATCATGGGGCGGAATGTCAACACTATTTTTATATTTAAAACATGCAATGCCTGTATCTAGTGATATATTCACATTTACAAAATATAGAACAGTATAATCTATTCATATACACACATACAAGACTAAATTGAATGTAAATGTTGCATTAGCTAATGAATGCCAAAAGGTGGTGTGTTGTGCTCTGGATGGAATGATGCTGGGCCAGGTGTCTGATAACTAGCAAGGTTTCCTTCTTTTGCCACTGTAATATTTTCAGGTGAGTAATATTCACTTACAGTAGCTAAAAAATTTAAGTGATAGGCTAGACTTGGTAGATCCCAAAGAAATGTTAATTTGCAAAGGAAATGTTAAGGAAAAGGATATCAACAAATTGTAATTTAATACAGCCCTGGGATGTCACAGAGAAGGATATAAACATGACCATTACTGTTTCCTGAGAACTGAAGCATTTTAAGAGGCTACCTGGAAGAAAGTATGGCTGAAGGCTGTCAAGACTTGAGAGGCACAGAAAGGCCCTGCCGATGTGCAGTGGAGAGGCTCGCCTTCCAGGACTGAGCTGCACTTATTCTGTGGCTGCTCGCTGCTGGCTCTCCCATTTCCAGGCCTGGAATCCTCCCCACAAAACCGAGTGTGCATGTAGTGGAAGATACGTCACACGTGGGCCTGTTAGTGAGAGCCACCCTCAGGTAAACCTACAGCAAGTCCACCTCAGCCCGCGCCGCTCTGGTCCCCTTAGATGGATTCACATTACATGAAAACCATGTGGCAAACCGATTTCTTGGCTTTCCTTCTAGGTATTGCTAAGCGAAGCCCTACCCTGGATGTTTTAATCGTTCCTCATTTATCAATTACTGAGAAGAATGCTAGTTTTCTCCCTGAAATTTGTATGTACCATTAACAAAAAGGCTTCAAAATATTCAGAGCAGAATTTACCATTATTTATTTAAAACACTTGCTACCAATATCAATCTGAAGATCAGTGGTTGAAGAAATAAACTTTTGCCAGCTGTTACATATAATAGAGTGAGAGTACAGTTGATGACTTTTACAACAGAAAGGTAAATATACTTTGTGTTCTTCTAAAAACTCAAACACAAGATTTCCTTTTTTTTTTCTTTGTTGGTACCGGGGATCAAACTTGGGACCTTGCGCTTGCGAGGCAGGTGCCAGAACCACTGAGCTAACTCCCTGGCCCAGGATTTCCTTTTTGTCATTGTCATAAAAGACACTTAACAGAAACAAAACACTTTCAACTCTTTTTGGGTGACTCCATTTTAAAGCCCACAGAAAACTGTCAGAAGGTAAAAAGTAAGGTTACCTTATTTTCTTCTAGAAATTTCAATTTGATGGAAACATCACTGCGCATTTTATCATATTTTTCCTTATGTGCTTGGAACAGATGTTGTGACTGCTCAATTTTGGGCAAAGTGTTTGCATCACGTGGTCCAAGATTCAGTTCTTCCAAATCAGTGCGATATGCATCATATTCAATTCTGGAAAGAAGAGAATAAATAATGCATACAACAAAATCAGTGAAATATGTTTGGGAGATGGGTTGGAAAATGTACTGTTCATTCTCGTATTACAGGATTATATATAACTTCTCATACCTATTCCATACCTTATGCTTTTTTAAAGAGCTATTAATATAGGAATGGGGGTTAAGGTAGGGCCTGGGGGGTGTGGCTCAGTAATAAAGTACTTGCCTAGTATGTGATACTGGGTTTGATCCCCAGTATCACAAAGGGGGGCAATTAAAAATGGGAGGAAAGCTGCTTTTTAATACTATTAACTATTTCTCCCAAAGTATAGCATTAACTGACAAGTAAAATTTCCAAAATTTAAAAACCAGTTAAAAAAAATAGATGTTAAAACCAAACAGATGTCACAATAATACTATCAACAGTAGAGACTGATCCCCCATGTGAACTGAGTAGCACTGACGAGGCAAGGTGACGAGGACAGCAGAACTGAAAGGGTCAGCGGTCCATAAGGTCCGGTCCAAGCCGCCAATGCGCAACAGGGAGATGAGGTGAGCCGTATGTGATTTAGTTGTTTAGAAGTTATGTTAAAATTATAACCAACTGTGCCTGTCTTAAAACAGTGTGCTTTTATTTTACTCAAAATGTTGAAAGTATTATCATTGGAACATGTAATCAATGTAAAAAAAAAATCGAAGTTTTGGGGGCTGGGTACTGAGCCTTAGAAATCCACTGCATAGCCTGCACTTCCAATTCAGGCTGGCCATGGTTCGAGTGCTCACACAGACTCATGTGACAACTGAGGGTCAGAGCTCTGGATGGACCGCTACAATGTAAGGATGCAGAATGTGACAAGGGTGTCCATTACAGGGCACTGAAGACCTCTGTGTGAAATGTATCACCTGAGTATTCTCCCACCACCAACTGAAAGCTAGCCCACACCATCATTCCCTGATCCACAGCATCTCATAATACCTCGAGTCAAGGGACCTGCATACACACAGCGACTTGTTCAGCAGCTTCGACAGTTTAGGACTCAGCCAAGAAGCAGCAAAGTGATCTCTAGTTTAATCAAAATATGAACGCAAAGTGTGTATCTCCAAATTACAGTTATTCAGATACCTAAAGTACAATTTACATCCCCTGGTGTGGGAATGAGAAATTCTTTAACATAAACTGTATTGTATAAATGATTTGGGAAAGAGTACATCAGTCCATGACACTTGGCTTAATGTAGTCTTTTTTGTTTTGTTTTTTTGAGGGGGGTCTCACTATGTAGTCCAGGCTGGCCTTGAACTTACTATGTACCCCAGGCTGGCCTCAAACTTGCAGCAATCCTCCTGCCTCAGCCTCCCAAGTCCTGAGCTTACAGGCATGTGCCACCATGTCCAGCTACGGCCTAATGTATTAACAACTAATGAATGTAACAAACTTGATCTTTCAGGGCCAAAACAGGATCATTCATTCATTCATTCATTGATATACTGATTGATTCAACAATAATCAGGTGGGCACAGTGTGCCTGAAAGTAAAGCTATAAAGAAGAGCAGCTATGTTTATCCTCAAGAAGCCTGCAATCCAAGGAAGACACGCTTGTAATGACTACTACAAAAATGGCATACTGGAAACTACCATGAGGAGGAGAAAGAAATAAAGAAAATCGAGAATAATTAACTAATGAGGCATCTAAAAAGCATCTTGGGGCAGAATTAAAATACTGTAATTAAAATCTGAAGGATAATAAAAGCTTAATGGGTTGGTTGAGGCACAGCAATTGGTAAAACATTCCAGGAAGAAAAGAGCATGTGTCAAGGTATAAGATCCCACATCACATTTGGAGATGAATTTAGTATGTTACAACCTGAAGCTGAAATACAATAAGGGGAGGAATTAAAGTTGGACAAGGAGGTAAGAGTAAAATTAAGTAGCCCAATGGCAAATGGTTCTGGTCTAATCTGGTGGGGCAGGGGATGTGAAATCACTGCAGAACCCTGATTGGACATGAAAGCAACATGATTTAATTTGTTCAGGACACAAAGATGCTCTGGTGGCAGAGCAGTGAGTGGAAGGTGGCCTGGAGCAGGAGATGAAGAAACCACAAGCAAGGAAACTAATTTAAAAGACCATGGACATGTGAGAAATGAGTTGATGAAGCAGCATGAAGGCAGAGGAGCTAAGACGACAAAGATTCAGGAGGCGACTGACTCGTGGTAATAACAAGTCAACTCCATGGCTTCAGCGGCCACACTCGAGCCCTTCATGGCTCTAACATGTTAGTCAGTATCGGATCTCTGTGCTCCAGGTTCTCATCTCTGACTGGGAACAAAATCCACAAAAACTTCATAGATTCCAGGAAACCTGAGACTAACTAACTGTTAGAGTGCTTATTATTATAGCCAAAAGCAAATATACCAAAGACTAAAAATAAAAGGGAAAAAACAGCTAAAATACATGGTGGCAAGTGGCACTTTAATATAACAAATATCCTTCAACAGTATTGGAGCACATTTCTAAACAGCAGTGGTTAATGTAAATATAAAAAAGGTTATAATCCTAACCTTATATTGCTTAAGTCTTACATCAGAGTTTGCAGACAGCATCACAGTAAAAACTTCCATAAGAGCTTCTTTACAGTGCTCTTTACCGTCAAGAAGGGGGAACATGCCGTTTTCGAGATGCAGCTCCTCACTTCTAGGATGCCAGTCTGAACTGGGTCCACATCATGGTGTGGGCTGGTTATTTTCTAGATGATGTAAAACTTCCGGAGAACAGGTGTTCACCTCTGAAAAGCCCTGACCACAAGTGACTCCCTTGTTGGGCTGCTGGGGAGAAGTGTTGCAGGGGGTGCTGAAAGACTTTCTGTGCATGGAGCACCGGAGGGCTAGGAAACATGCGCACACAATGCATAATGGGGAGCATTAAGAGGCCACCCGGGCACTGGGCTACATTACCACTTTTTGTGGTGATCAAATAGATGACCTTTGCTCTGAACGGCAGTAAATTCTGGTTTTGACAGAGAAGAAAATTCAGCTTCTGAGAAACTTTAATCTTGGATTCTTTTGGACTATTAACCCTCAGCAGCCAGTGTTTCAGGGTTACAACTTGCCAACTGCTCAGCTACTTCATGGACACAGAAGTCAAACCCTAAACTCACGTTAATAAATAAGATCACATGTGGTACTGTGAATTAAAAAGGACAAACTGTGGGGTGAGTTGCTGCTTGAAAAGTAGTACACAAAGAGAATCTCTTAGGTTTTCATTAAATAACCAGATATCAAGAACACAGAATTTACTTATGATTTTGTTCACAAGTTTTCAACAAATGTATACATTGTATAAATTAAGATCTACACATCACATTATACTTTAAATTAGAATTCTCACTAGAAGATGGGCAAATTAAGCCACGTGTAATACATACTGCAACTCCAACTACTTGGGAGGCTGAAGCAGGAAGATTCTGAGTTATGGGGAACCTAGTGAGATCCTGTCTCAAAAAGAATGAAAATGGTAGATGATGCAAAGATGCTTTCTTTGCCTGTACAAGGCCTTGGGTTTAATTTTCAGAACTAGGGGGGAGGGAGATATAAAATTATTTTTTATAATCAGATGTGAAATTTTGATATTTTCATGTTTTTTTGAGACAGTCTTACTGTATACTTAAACTAACTTATATAGCCCAGGCTGGCCTCAAACTTATAATCCTCCTGCCTAGCTTCTCGAGCACTGGGATTACAGCTGTGTGCCACCACACCTAGCTTATATTTTATTTTTAAATAATTTTTTTTTTTTTTTTGCAACACTGAGAATTGAACCTAGGACCCTTTGAATACTAGAGAATCACTCTACCACTGAGCCACAACTCCCACCACCAAATTTTAGGTTAATTCAGTTCAAGTTTAAGGCTTATTGATCAAGAGTAAAAGGAAAGCCAAGCCAAGTGCAGTTGTGCCCACTGGTAATCCCATACATTTCAGAGGCTGAGGCAGGAGGATTGCAAGTTCTACGCCAGTCTGGGCAATTTAGCCAGATTCTGTCTCAAAACAAAAAGGGCTTGGATTACAGCTCAGTGACCAGTGAGCTCAACCCCTGGCACTGACTCCCCCAAAGACAGGGAACCAAGGGGTTCTCACCTTGGCTTTGAAGCTGACTACAGGTGAACAAACTATGTTGTCTAGAGAATGATTTATCTCCTCTGTCAATGAAATAACTGTTTTAGGCATGAATAATGACTTAACTGATACATCTAGCTTTCTTTAATATGGGTTAATATTTTAAAAGACATACTAGAAATGAAGCCCAAAAAGAAAGATATATGCTAAGTAACTAAAATATATTTCAGGGTAGGTAGACAATCACAAAGTAAAGACAAAACAGATATATATAGTTCTTAACCAGGAGATGGTGGTGGCACTTAGGGAAGAAAACAAATTTTCACCTTCAAAAGTCACAAAAATAGACAGACATAGCAGTGCACACCTGTAATCCCAGTACTTGGGAGGCTGAGGTAGGAGGATTGCACTGAGTTTGAGGCCAACCTGGGCAATATAATTCAAGGCAAGCCTGAAGTACACAGTGAGATCCTGTCTTAAGAAAACAGAAACAAAAACAAATTCACAAATACCAGAAGAATCCAAATGACTAGAAAACTAGAAGCCTAAAATGACTAAAGAGACAAAAGCAAGTATATCCATTATGAACAAATCAGGACATTCTGAGTAAGGAACAAACTTAGAAAAGAACCATAGAGAACTTACATAAATGAAATATTTCATTTATATAAGTAATGAATCCTTTGGTAAATACAATGTCCATGAAAGACTTTAACATGTTCTCACCGGCTTGAACCACCAGTGGTACATGTATGACTGTCACATCAGGCAGCTTGTGCCACTGGTGATACAGATAGATCTGATCACCTTTATTGGGCTTTTTACTAATAAAATGAATTAACGGCTAACTGATGGACACTCATGCATGTACCACTGATGGTTAAAGCACCCAGAAGTGAGACATATGATTATGGCCCTGTCGCAACCATGTTAAACAGTGCTGGAAAACCTATTACTAGTAATGTTAGTGAAGAGACTCCTAGGAAAGATCTTACTGACAGATTCCTTCAATGAGTGTCATGTTAGTAAACAGTTAAAAAAGAAAATCAAATAAACAAACAAAAAAAATCCCCAACAACATCAAATACACCAAAAACCCCCAAGACCTAAACCTATTAAATAAGCCACGAAACCCTTACCCTATCCTCCCCCACCAGAATATCAAAGTTTTCTTTTTCTTTTTGGTGGTACTGGCAATTGAACTCAGGGCCCTGGCACAGAACTATGTCCCTAACCCCTTTCTTGTTTTTGTTTTTGAGACAGGATCTTGCTAAGTTGTCCAGGTTGGGCTGGAACTTGCCAACAGTCCTCCTGCCTCAGCCTCCCAGTGCTTGGGTAACAGGTGTTAGATCTTTATTTCTAAGAATTTTATACATTAATACTGACTGAAAATTATAAGTACAGGATGGAACAAAAGCATCTCTTCTTGTTAAACCATTAAAAAGTAGGCCGGGGATTTAGCTCAGTGGTTCCGCTGCCTGCCTTGCAAGCACAAGGACCTGAGTTCGATCTCCGGTACCAAAAAAAAAAAAATATTAAAAACTAACTTTTTCAAGTCCTTAGACTTGTACTTCTTTAAAACATAAAGAAATGGATGGTTCAGCAAAAGCACTTAACTGCAAAATGACTAGATGAGCTAGGAGTCTCACAGCTATCTGTCACATCATTTAACTAGGACAAGAGGCCAAAATACAAAATGATGCTTCTAAAGGGCAAAGTTTGCATCCGTATTCAACTATGCCACAAAAAGTATTTTAAAAAATACTAATTTCAAATGTTCAGAGAGAAAAAACCTCAAGGGCAATTGGACTAATGTTGAAATAAAACTGGCAGGGCTTATAGGGGCAACAATTGAGTCTGGAATCAAAAGTTGAAAAAGGCTATCATGGGCTTGCTACTTTTTGAATATTTCTAAGTGTTTACTAATCCTAACAAAATGGTCACAAGATGGAGAAATTACATACACATGAAGTAGAATGTATAAAAATTTGCACAATAAGCAGCTATCAAAATATAAGGCAAATATTTATGTAAAAGTTGAAATGGGAAAGAGTTTGGAGACAGGTTATAACCTGGATAAATGAAATCTGGGGTTGGTATCCACAACATAAACCAAATCCTTGGGGGCAGAAATGAGTCTGTGAATGCAGGAAACGGAAAGCACACACGTGGCTGCGGGGGAGCAGCAAGCCGTGTGCCCCGGGAGGGAAGCAGCAGAGATGAGGGCGACAGGTGAATTCAGCCATCAAGCATGGCTGGCGGGACAAGGGCTCTGCCTCTCCCCGGGAACCAGAGCCGGGAGGGAGATCGTCCTTCCCCTACTGCCCAGCGGGCGAGGTTTGGGCGCACGAGCAAGGTTCAAATGGACGTTCCCGAGGCATGAAGCAAGCATGCGGGGCCTTCTGGAAAGTACACAGGAGAATGGTAGAAGCACCAAGAATCGGAGGCACCAGTTCTGGTCCCACCTAGATAGTTCCTGAGGCATTCATTCATTATTCGGCCTTGCTCTTGCTTGTTTCCGGAATCTTGTTCTCCCTGTTCCGCTGTGGGCTACTCTGACATTCCAGGACATTCTTTTTCTGTCAGAATTGGGCAGCGTTGGTTTCTGTTGTTTGCAACCAAAAACCTTAACTGAAGTACACACCATAAAATAAACAATACAGAGAAAATTCATACCTACCTGGCACTTTCGTATTGTTTCACAGTCATTAATGTATCTTCAATTGTTTTATTCACCAAAGTGTTTACACTGGCAATAAAAAAATTAATGGCCCCAAGAAGAGTCTCTCCGTTTTTTGCCAGAAGCTTCTGGGTATCTGCATTATAGCCAAATTCTTCCTAAAACAAAGAAGTTACCTTAACTTATTCAGAAATAAATTACCAGATATGACTCTGAAAATCTCAAACATATCATTAATGGGAAAATACGTGATTTAAAAATCTATCAATAGAAGTTTCACCTTTTTATGGCAGTCTTTAAATATGTAAGAATCTAAATCTAAATTATAGATATATAATACTGATTATACAGATATACAATTAACAAAAAAGTTTAATGAACCAAATTGTTATCAGTGCAGATGCATAGCCAAATCTGAATAATTTTTAAAACCTAAACTATTTTGTACTCGAAAGAATATTTTAGTTTCTACATTTTGTTTCTGTTACACTATAAGCACAGCTGTTAAGAAGAAAAATATAGCAGATTATTAATCAGAGAAACTATAACTTTTACAACCAAATTAGGTAACAATTGGTTAAAACTTTCAGACATAAAGTAGACAGCAATTTTTTGTGTTTTGACTGAATCCCCTCCATGTATAAATATTAGCAAGACACATTTCAGTGTAAACTCAGTGACCAGCTGACTCCTGAGCTCAGGTCTGTCTCAGCACACTGCTGAGGAAAGATCACCCATCACCACATTCAGTTTATTCTCCCTGAATATACTGTGTCTTGCCCCAGCAAATATTACACATGCCTCCTTCAGATATGGCAAAAAAAGAATCCTAAATATTCAGCAGTACAGTCTTCCCAGTCTAAGTTTCATTAATTAACAGATTAATCAGGAACATATCTAGCCAAATAAAAAAGCTGATCACATTTTATTGTAGGATGTATCTTTCAGGTTTAGAATTCTCCAGCTTTTTTTTTTTTAAATTTTTAAATTTTTTTTGAATCTGGTTTATTTCAATCAGTATAGTGTTTTCACAGTTCACCCAAGGTTGGAGTAGCCACTGCACTTCATTCTCTTTCAAGGCAAAATAATTTCCTATTGTGTGTGATTGCTACTTTTTGTTTACCCCATCATCCACTGATAGGCACTTGGGTCTATTCCTACCATTGGTCACTGTGAAGAATGCTCCTGTATACTCTGACATACAAGTATTTTTTTGAGCTCTTTCTTCCAATTCTTTTGCTTCTCAAAGTATTAATTAAACTGGGAGGAGTTTTTTTTTTAAAATAAAACACTCCTAAATTTTACCTGAACAAAATGTGATATAAAGCAGTATTTTAGACAATGAAAAGTGAATGCTACACTATAGCTATAACTTAATTTCTAGTTGATATACTATTCAATAAATTGCAGGAAAGTAAAATTATCTGTTATGCTAAAAGCATTTTCCATTTAAGATAGGTCCATGGAACTGTTCACTCTGGACTCAGTCTTCAAGACTGTACCAATTGTACCGTAATTGCAAATATTAGAGATATATAATTATATAAATATATCAATCATGCATGTAAAATCTAAAATAAAAGATAGGACAGCTGAAGATTTTTGGCACCAAGTTTTTACAAGCCAAATTATATACAAAGTCTAAATAAACATTACCAGAAATAAAACAGTACAAGATATGAATGTAATCACTATGTGCTATAAACATACACTAATAAAAATTAAATCTTAGAATTTTTAGAAAATGTTAACAGAGTATATTACAACTGTACTTATTTCCTTTGATAGTCATTAAGAGGTGAAAGGCAAAATCAAAAATCAAAAAGGAAGAAAAATATGAAAGCTAGATTTATATAAATACTATTATTGATAAAAAGTAAGGAAACCTTTTCTACTCACTTCATAACAAAGTATGTATCATTACACCATATGCCTAGAACATTATGTTTATTTCTAAAAGTTCTCAATAGCCACAATTCCACAATGCTAACTCTGAAAATGCCAAAAGTCTTAATTTAACCACAGGAAGATATAGATACCCTAGAAGACTGCTCTTTTATAAAAAAGGACACAAACCAAACTAAAGATGAAATTTCAGTAAATTGAAGTTAATAAAATTTCACATCCTAAATTTACACCAGAACAATAAGCCTTACTTCAAAGCATAAGGCAAGAGTAAAGCAACATTGTTTTGTTTCAGGAATGTTAACTCTCACCTATAATTCTGAGAAGAATTATATATAAAACAAGATTTTAGGGCTGGGATGTAGTTCAGTGTTTGGGCACTTGCCTAGCATGTGTGAGGAATTAGGATCAATCCCTAGAACTGCAAAAACCCAAACCCAAAACCAAAACCACCAAAAGCCTTACTGTTTCTAATGTACAATCTGAAAACGTGGTAGGGAAATGTTGACACAGGGAAGGCTACTGATGGGTTGGGACAAAGGACATATGAAAACTCTCTGTACTGTATACTCAAATTTTGCTGTGAACCTAAAATAATTCTAAAAGATGAAGTTACTTTAAAAATGCTTAAGATGGGCCAGAGATTTAGCTGAGTGGTTTTGTCGCTTGATGCACAAGTGCAAGGACTCGAGTTCAATCCCTGATACAAAAAAAAAAAAAAAAGCTTAAGATGCTAAATTTTGTTGTGTACATCTTAACACAATAAAAAATTTTGAAAACTAGGGGGCTGGGGATTTAGCTCAGTGGTTTCGTCGCCTGCTGCGCAAGCGCAAGGACCTGAGTTTGATCCCCGATAACCCCCCCCCCAAAAAAAAATCTCAACTGGCTATAATAAAAAGTCCTTTTTTGTTTTTTACTAGTAAAGCATGAGCTGGTGATGTAGCTCAATGGTATAGTACAGGCCTAACATGCATCAGGCTGTGGGTTCCATTACCAAGAGTGCAAAAATAAATAGATTTAAGTTATAATGAGGCATGAGATAGAGTAGTAAATGATACAAGTAATTAGAATACTAATGAGAACAAAATGAATATACCTATGTAGGTTCATTATAAATAAATTCATTTTTAGTATTAAAATAACATGAAATATGACAAACTTAATTTATTTGATGACAAGTCAATTATTTTAGTATTCTCAGTTGTTTAGGGGTGTGTTACACATTATTATAAATTGCCTTAGTAATTACACATAAACTAAACATAAAATAAAGACCATTTACAACAAGGATAGAGGTGTACTTCTGAACTGCCACTGAGGATGGGAGACTAAGACAATTCCCAGAGCTAAAAATGCAGTGGTGAAAACAGCATGGTACTGGCATAAAACCAACACATAAGACAAAGAAACAGCATAGAGAATCCAGAAATAAATCCATGCATCTATAGCAGTGGTGGTGAACCTATGGCCCTTGTGCCCCAGCAGGCTATTTATATAACTGAAAGCTCTAAAAGATTCACCATTACTGATCTATAGCCAAATAATCTTCAACACAGGCACAAAAACACACACTGGAGAATGATAATCTTATCTTATCAATAAATGGTGCTAGAAAAATTAGATATCCATATACAAAAGAATGAAACTTAGATCCCCCCATATATAAAAATCAATTCAAAAATATCAAAGACCTGAAAATATGAAACTGCTAGAAGAAAACATAGGGGGAACATTTCTAAATATCATTATAGGCAATGATTTTTTGGTGTAAGATCTAAAAAGCATTTGTAAGACCTCAGAGACATAGGTAACAAAAGCAAAACTAGACAAATGGGATTATATCAAACTAAGAAGCTCTGGCACAGCAAAGGAATCAACCAAGACAACCCACAGACTGAAAGAAAATACTGAATTTGCAAACTATTCATCTGACAAGAGATTAAGATCCAGAATATATAAGGAACTCAACTCAGTAAAAAACAATCCCATTAAAAAGTGGGCAGTGATCCGAATAGATATTTTTCAAGAAGATATACAAATGAGCAACAAGTATATATGAAAAAATGTTTAGTATCACTAATCAGGGAAATGCAAATCAAAACCATAATGAGATATTATCCTGCCCCAGTTACAATGACTATAAGCGAAAAGACAAAATAAATAAAATAAAAAGACAAAACCAAAACATGCTAGTGAGGGCATGAAGAAAGGTGAGCTCTTATACACTGTTGGTGAGAATGTAAACTGGTATAGCCATTTTTAAGGGCGGGGATTTAGCTCAGTGGTTCTGTCGCCTGCCTCGCAAGTACAAGGTCCCAAGTTCGATCCCCGGTACCAAAAAAAAAACAACAACAAAAAACTGGTATAGCCATTTTTATAAAACACAATGTGGAAGTTCCTTAAGAAAATTAAACAACAACTACCATGTAACCCAGCACGTATCTAAAGGAAATAAAATCGGTATGTTAGACACAAAAGGTCATACACGTATGGTCTCATTCATATCAAATGTCCACAAAAGCAAATCTATAGAGAAGCACAGCACATTAGTGTTTGCCAAGGGTTGTAAGGAGAAAAAGATAGGTGTGGGGTTTCTTTTTGGGGTGACAAAATGTTCTGGAATTAGATAGTAGTGACTGATGTACAACTTTGTGAATATACTGAGCAATAAAGAAAGAAAAAATTTTAAAGGGAATACAAATTATCTTTCACAAATGCCTACTGCTTGAATTGTACCATTACAAGGATGAACTTCATGGTATGTGAATTATATTTTAAAAAATAAAACTGGAACACATCTGTGGAACTTGAGTACAGATTTGCCTCCCCTGCATACAATGCCTCTGCCAAAATTCCCTCCATGTATATGAATTATACGATGCTCCAAAGGCTTTGAGTTTTGGAGCATTTCAATTTTTCCTATTAGGAATGTTCAACTAGTAAAGTCTATGCAAATATTCCAAAATACAAAAAAACCAGAGCCAGGGATTTAGCTCAGTGGTTTCACCACCTGCCTCAAAATACAAAAAAAACCTCTGAAATGTCTAACACTTCTGTTCCCAAGTGTTTTAGATAAGTGTTACTTTACTTGAAACGAATATAAAGCCCTTAGCCCAATGCATTTAAAATGTGGGTACTCAATAATTGCAGCTGTAATGATATTCAGCTTCCCAAATAACTAGTTTTCTTTATGTCTAACAGATCAGTTAAAATTGAATTTCAATATTTGTCACTGTTATGACATGTATCACCATCTGCACCAAACTTTCTTTGCCCAAGGTTATAGGACAGAGTGACTTAATGTTCCAAATTATCTACTTCTTCAAGTAAGAAGTCAGCAGGCAAGGAATATCTATACCATCTGGCTCCAGGGAAAAAAGAAACAAAAACACTCAGATAAAAAAAATGTCAAAAGACAGATAGCAAAAGAAATTCTTAAAAATGTTTTACTGAATATCTAGAGAGATAAATACTGAAAAATAATTTCACTTATTTATTTATTTGCTTGCTTGCATTGCTGGGATATAACTCAAGGCTTTGCATATGCTAAGCATGAACTTTACAAATGTACTCAGCCCTCAAGATTCATATTTATATTAATGATTTCAGTAAAAGTATACCATAAATTCATTCAAACAAGTCACAATTTGTTCAACATACCTGGACTGGGCAAGAGATTTTCAGTAAGTGTCTAATTTACTTTTTACCTACACCAGAGTCATACATAACTATGATTTTTTTCTAGGCTTGGCCAGGCTGAGTACTTTTTTCCTTCACTCTACCCAAATTCCTTTCCTCTAAAACCTCCAGTTGCCATCTATTCTAAAGTACAAATGGGTCACTATGTCGACAGAAGTAAGCCAGGTCTTCTCAGAGTACATGAAATGTCTTAAAAGAACACCTTAAAACTCCAATTACAGGAATTTCCCATAGGGCTTGAGGTATAGTCCGTGGTAAAGCATACGAGAGTCAGTCCTCAGCACTCAACGAACAAACACAAAAATTCCCATTTCATTAAAAGTTCAGCAGAACATAAATGTAACAAATTACCTCGTAAAGTATTTCTATTGCCACCCCCACCCCTGACAGCTACTTAAACAACTTTACATGGAGTTCCAGAGACTTCAAGCTCAGGTCAGCAAACGCATCTCCAAGCTGCCTCTGGGTGTGAACCATCTGGAAAAGCTGTGTTGACAAGGTCTGAGCCAGTCTGAGGATATTTTCATATTTTTTCTTGTTATCTCTTAAAATATCAATCTGAGCTTCAAGTTCAAGGTCCACAGTTCTTGAGCCACGGCCTAGCTTCTCAGAGATAATTTGTCGAGTACACTAAAAGTGGAAAAATGGATTTTATTTAAGAAGGGGGAAATAGAACAACAGCAAAACAGTAATATGCCATGCAGAATACAGATGCTAGAGCACATTAATTCTTTGACAGAAGCAAGCTAGCCTAACATACTGAAAACTGTGAACCCCTTCACAAGTTCTAATCAAAGATATTTTAAGACTTATTTAGCTAATTTATATACTGCTAGATTCTCTCATAATTGTAGTATTTCAAACTTACTGCATTTGAATAAATTATTTAAAACAACAGATAATTGGTATTGTTTTAAAAATATTAAAATTGTTAATATAGAAATAATAAAGAATAGCAAAATTCTATTCTCTTATAGGTTTCAACTGTTTTCTATCTTCCTCCAGTAGTTTGTATCTATGTTTGTATGAAGTAGGAGTGAAGGGGGAAAAAGGGAGGAAAATAGAGGAAGAGGGTTGAGAGGGATAGCAAGAAAAGAGGGCACAGAGGGGAGAGAAGACAGAGGAGGCAGGGAAGGAGGGAGCAAGGTGGGAAAGAGAGATGAGAGAGAGAGAGGGAGACGGAGAGAGAGAGGGAGAGAAAGAGAGAGAGAGAGGGAGAGGAAGAGAGAGAGAGAGGGAGAGGAAGAGAGAGAGAGGGAGAGAAAGAGACAGAGGGAGAGGAAGAGAGAGGGAGAGGAAGAGAGGGAGACGGAGAGAGAGAGGGAGACAGCGAGAGAGACAGAGAGAGAGAGGGAGAGAGAGGGAGAGAGAGGGAGAGAGAGGGAGAGAGAGGGAGAGAGAGGGAGAGAGAAATGGAGACTGATTACAGATTCCTAAATTCTCCTTATTTTACTTTTGCCCAGATAGCATGGCATTGTGTTACTCTCTTTTGCCAAAGAAATAACGACACAGAAACTTGTAATTTTTAAAGTGTATCTAGGGCTGGGGATGTAGCTCAGTGGGTCCTGAGTTCAATCTCCCGTACCAAAAAAAAACTGTATCTAAATTCAGAGCTCCACATGGAAATAAGTTTCCTGGTAATAATGATTAGCATTTCATTATTCAACAATACATATCAAGAGTAATTATATAGGGTGTCAATATACTCATCATTGGAGGTTATCGAAAGTATTCTAAAAAGTAGTAAATACAACAATTTCTAAAATTTGAAAATTTTCTCTATTATGCCTTTCAAAGGTTTGATTATGGAATTCATATTTGTTATAAAAATTAAAAATGATGCAGGAAATAAAAGGTGAATTCCTTCTGTTAACCCCACTAAATAGAATCTTCTATTAACAGTTTGACATTTATCTTAAACTTTCCCTTAACATATAATCAAACACAATCCTTTCAGAGTAAAGATGAGATTATTCTGCTATACATAACATATCCAGAACATCTCTTTTATGAACAAAGTATCTTGAACTTTTTGTCAATATATATAATTCTTTACAGATATATTTTTCCTCTTTAAAATTGAAGGAACCTAATAACTTCAATTAATGCAAACATTATATGCCACAACATGAGCTAAGAGTAATAATATCAACAAGAAGGAAAATAGGATAAAGGAATTTGAGGAGGAGGGAGGGAGAGGGAAGGAAGGGGAAGGGACTTAAAAAAATAAAAAACAAGCTATGGTATGGAGATGTAACTGCTCCCCAAGATGACTGTAAACTGCATGAACTGCAAACATGTACTAACAAAATAAAATTAAAAAAAAAAAAAAAAGCACATTTCCTGACATTTTCTATTTTCAAAAACTAAGGATCTTCATGAGTTTTTTTAAATCAAGGAGCTCTCTTCTTAAAAACAGAGAAATTTTTAACCACATATAAAAATGGTAGTACAGATAAAGAGGCCGAAAACCACAGAAGGGGAATAAAACTATTACTATGGAAAATGTACAAATACTTCCACAGATAAAAAGCACATCAAGAGAAAAGTCTGAGTGGAGACATTGTGATTCTAAGGAGAAAAACAGCAAGAAATAATGTCTGAAAGGGTGACATGATAAAGGAGGTACAGCACTCATTTCCATACTTTTCTCCTAGAGCAAGATTTTCCTATGACAGACACGGTGCCTTCCACGGCAACCTAGGTACAGTGACCTGCTCAAAGCCAAGAGGCCTGACCCCACGAAAGGAGGTTTGTAGGCCAGACAAAATCAAAGGGAAGTCTATTGTTGTCTGAGTGACCATTTTTTCATATAAATAAAATTTATAAGCAAGCAGCTGGGTCAAAGCTTAAAGAGAAAATTTTCTTTATTTATATTGGTTTCCAGGAAGCTAGGGCAGTGAGAAGAGTAAGAAACTGATTGTGAGGCAAACTGAGATGAATCTGGACAGCACATGGTACCTGAAAGAAGTTTTAAGACTGAATCTACACAGCCTACGTTCCAATACGGGTTATTATATACCCTTAAAGGAAATCTGGATTATCTTGGAAGGAGACCATCGTAGGCTGCCTACGTGTAGCTTTGTAAAAAAGGTTGTAGTGAAAAGACATAAAGTTGTTAGCATTTCATCACTCACTGGGATCCCAAAGGAAGTTTCTCACATAATCCTTTAAGAGTGAATTATTAAGTTGATTCCTAGTGCACAATGAATTAAATGCAAACTGAAGGCCAGAACGTACTATAGAGCAAATTTAAAACACAAGAAATAGAATAGAATGGATATCATTTATAATAAGCTGGGGATCCTAATTAGTTTCCCATATATATTGAGAATTCATTTTGAAGGGAGAAAAACTCAGTGGTAGAGTACTTGCCTAGCATGCACAAGGCCCTGGGTGGGTTCTCAAACCCCAGTACCACCACCACCACCAAAACAAAATAAAACAAAACAAAAAATCATTTTGAGGACCACAGCTTCCAAATGAAGCTAAGTTGAAGGGAGGGAAGCTAAGTAAATTGCTGACCTATGTAGACCTCCTACTTGGAGGAGAGTGGATGAAAAAAGTACACACAGCGTGCTGAGTGCCACAAGTTATCATCATGAGGGTTCATGAATTTGTAAAATAGACACTGTGTACTCCGGGCATTTAAATAACACCAACAGCTTTTCTGTAATGCTACAGGCCAAAGATATTTCAATATAAGCAGAAGAATAAATCCATGTAAACAGTGACAGATTTTAAAAATGGCTATAAGGTAAAATACAGAGAAGGGCATCCAAAAGGAAAATGAACAGAAGAAATAAGTCAACCAATAAATCAATGAAGCAATATATGACAAGAAAAACAGACACAAGATCTTAAAAGATACTGGCTTAAGGATAATAAAGATTAATTTGATAAGGGTGTGATTGCTAATGGAAAATTCTAAGCATTTTTTAAAAGTACTGTATGTTTTGGAAAGATGTTAAATAGCTCTGAATGCTGAACTGAGATTTAAAAAAAAAACCAGAATTTCAAAAAGTAGTCTCTGTAGCCTAGGTAAAAACAAAAACAGCCCCCTCAAAAAGATAAAACAGAGTTCAATATTCACAACTATTTTGGCAGATAAAAATAAATTCTAAATTTAAATTTTGTGAATAAAATCGGGCAGATTAAAATAATGTTCAAAAAGAAGGGTCTGAGGCCTAAATTTAAAAATTGTTATCTTTGGTTTTAATTACCTGACTGGCCTTAAGGGCCAAAATTGACAATGAATGAATTAATAGTAAATACTCTCTGTGAAGACAGTATTTGCTAGAGAATAGAACTGAAGAAATTAAAGGTAAAAATCACAAAAGAGGGAAGATCAAAGAGCAACAATTAAGTTACTTAAGAGTAATATGGATAACAAGCACAGTCTTAAATTAACAAAATCAAAACAAGCACTTGCAGCATTATCGAACCGACAACAATGAATTCCCACATCAGCTATAATTTGGACCCAAAAGGCTGACAAGCCAGGAAACAGTCCTGTAGACCCAATGAGGTCATCACACTCTGGTGGAAAGGGGTATTCAGCCAGCTCCTAAAGCCATGTAAGTCAGAACTTTCTTTTTCTCTTGTACCTAGACTAGGATATCCAAACTGAGTTCTGATGAAAAAATGTTCCATGTAAAAATAAAGAGAACACTGATGTTTCTTTCACACAGTACTACACTGCTACAGCACGTCAAAGTCTGGTCATTTCATTGGCACAAAAAGCTTAATGTGGTATGTCAATCCTTAAGAGACCAATATGGAAGCTTAATGATGTTTCAACTCAGATTACTGTTGAGGTAAGAAATGCAAGAAAAGGAATAGACACACACAAATGAAAAGGAATGAGGAATGAGGAAAAAAGTAAACAACACAAGAGAAGGAGGCTCAAATGAACAAAATCTTTTAATTTTAAAAAACATGTTATCAGTAATTATTAGGATTTGGTTCAGAAATAAGGTCTGTGTTCTTAAGGTTCAAAATGTGTGGATAGGGGCCGGGGATTTAGCTCAGTGGTTCCGGCATCTGCCTCGAAAGCACAATGTCCCGAGTTCGATCTCCAGTACCCCCCCGAAAAAATAAAATGTGTGGACAAAGAATATTAACAGAGGCAAATTTTATAACTAAGTGAAGACAGGAATGGATAAATAAACTTAATAAATAAATGAATGAAGCTCAGTCTGCTATGAAAGATAAAGTGAAATGGAGGGGAATTCCAAGCAGATGGCAAATACTGCCTCATGAATAAAGTCATAGAAGTGTGAGAAAGCATAGATTGCTGAAGGAAATCTCTGGGTAATTTGGTTTCAGAGCCACAGATAGAAGAGAGATGGAACAGTAAGACATAAAGTTGGAAAGGCAGTCAAGAGTCAGATTCATGTCATTCTAAAGATAACAGGGATTGGCTGAAAGATTTTAAAGAAATAGTGACTGCATTAGGCAGGTGGAGTCCAAGAGAATTTGTAGAGAAGCTACTGAGAGAGAGGGAGGGGAGAAGGCGAGGGGATGGGGGGAGGGAGGGGGAGAGACAGGAACCATGGCTGTGAAGGCTGGGACAGAGAAAGCAAGAAAACTTGGGTAGAACCCACAGGATTTAAAGACTGACTGGATATGTGGGGTCAGCTAGGAGATGGAGTAGACATCTGTTAATACTTGGGGGAATCATTGTGATGGGGGGAATACACACACAGAAAGATACCTGGACTAGGTGAATCCCCAGCAAGAAGGCGCAAGGACTTAAGAGAACGCCCACGTGAGAAGAAAAGCTTAAGCAAGCATCGTTTTTTTTAAAGATTACTATTGGTATTTCTCAGCTTTTACACTGACATGAGCTAAATAACTTTTGGAAGATCCAGTATTTCAAGGCATTTTTACCATCTTAAGTAAACCTATTTTGTGGAGGATTTCAGAAAATGTTTTTAAAAATACTAACTGGAAGGGGCCGGGGATTTAGCTCAGTGGCACCATGATCCTGAGTTCCATCCCCGGTACCGCAAAAAAAAAAAAAAAAAATTTAACTGAAAGAATTCATTCTATCTCTTGAGAAGACACATTTGAGATCTGCTCTCTATAAAAATATGCACAATTCCTCTAGAACCTCTAGACCCACAACCAACCTGGAATGTACAGAATTGTGGCTAAGTTCTCATCCACTGGGCTACTCTACAAGTCTACTGGCCTTATCCCTGTTAAGATTCAGAGGTACTAAATGGATTTTGGACTTTGGCTGTTTGTAACACATCAACTACACTGCAGAGTAAATAATTTGCTTACTTGTATCATGGTAAATAACCAGGTAATAAGGAAAATAATCACTAATTACTCTGAAGCAATGCAACTAACACTGCCAACAAACATTAAAAACCCAATTCATCTATTAGCTGGTCTTGTCTGTACAATTAATATTTAGTTGTTATAAAGTATTAAAAAGAGGCCCCACCTGGTAGCTTATGACTATAGTCCCAGCTACTCAGGAGGCTGAGGCAGTAAGATTATCACTTGAGGCCAGGAGTTCAAGACCAGCCTGGGCAACACAGCAAGGCCCTGTCTCTTAAAATTAAAAATAAAGTATCAAAAAAAAAAAAAAAAGCAGAAGGGGAAATATATCTATAGCAGCTCTATAATAAATTCCAAAGCAGCATTATTTTTACAAATATCAATAATAAAACAAACATTTCATTTTTTGAATTATATTTCCCTGTTTAGATGGTAAAACTCCTATATATTCATATAATTGCAATATAGTAATTTGATAACATACAAATAATAATTCTTAGAACCACTTAAGACAGAAACATTAAAAAATTACAAACCTTATATGTGTTCAGACTCCATTTTCTAACAAGTTCTAACTTTTCCATTGCAGGATTTTTAATTTCATCTGCTAGAATAACTGGTCCACTTTTTGTTTGTGTTCTCTGGCCACCTGCATGATCATAAGAAAAGACAAAAAACACACAATCGAGATAAAGTAGGCAAAGAAAACAAAACAATGATGTTCAAATTAAATTACTTATGCATTTAAGAAAGACTCACACAAAGTGAGTGACTAGAACATCCTAGAATCCTTGATAATTTCCTAATCATTCAAAAAATACAAATATCAAAAAAAATTTCTGTCCATTAAACACAAATGCCATGTGGTTTGGCTATCATCTTTTAAAAACAAATGCTGCTGCAATCAAAATTCTTGTCTATATTAACTGCTGATTATCTCAAGAAAAATAAGTTTTACAACTAACCTTAAAGACTGAACTATCTTTGTCAGTAAAAATTCCTACACTGATCTCCTGTCACTACACTATGTTGATCAGAAACACAACAGAATGTCACTATAATTTTGGACAATTGGGAAAAATAATTCAAAGTCATTAAAAATGAATGTTTTTGCTGTAAGGAGATGCTACATGTTTGAGATAGTTTAAGTTGATTTAAGCACTGTACAATGTAACAAAACATCACATGGTGCCCCATTACTATGTACAATTTGTATGTTTTTATGAATCAGTTAAAAATTAATTTAAATTTTAAAAATGTTACCACCGGCACAAGAGGCTGAGCTGAAATAAGACCTATATTGTATGTTGTTCTCAAGAGCTCTTTCTCTTTTTTTTTGGTACTGGGGATTGAACTCAGGACCTTGTGCTTACAAGGCAGGCGCCAGAACCACTGAGCTAAATCCCCAGCCCTCAAGAGCTCTTTCTCAACATAGGGAGACTGTCTCAAAAAAACAAAAACAAAAAAATAAAACTCTTTTAAAAAAAGCCAGGCTGATAAAGTCTTAACAAATGTACTGTTCCAACAACTGAGGTTTATGGTATAAAAAGCAACTATGTAGTTTCTTAGTTTCTAATAGTAAAATATTTTCCATAGCATAAAAATGTTTCATGAACATTTATAATACCAATGATTTGGGATATAAACTTCATGATATTTTAAAAAGAACGATAAAATAAGGAGAGAAAAAATTAAGAACTTAATGGTTTTAAAAACTTAGGGTCAGTAAAAAGTTCTTCTTACTTATTTCCAGCCAGCCTTTAAGGCAGCTTCATCACAGACTAAGACTGAGAACTGTACACAGAATCAAACAGATAAAAAAAAAGGAAGGAAAAAAATGGAAACAAAGCTTTTGTAGATAAAGAGGAGGACTGAAGGGTGGGGAAGGGAATGGGAAAAAAGAATAAGCAAGAAATACCATGTATGGGTACAAATTCCCTATGATGAGTATCATCATTATGTGTATCTAAAATGTACCAATAAAATAAAAACAAAAGAAAATGCCCCCCAAAAGTATAACAGGCCATGGATGTTGTAATAGGTGGAGCACTGTAGCTGAAACATAAAGTTCTGTGATGTCACTTGTGCCAGAAAAAAAAAAAAAATCAAACACATTTAAGAATTTATAAAACTCTCATAGAAACAAAATATAAAAACTAACATTCCATATGAAAAGAAATGTGGAGTTTGCATCTCCCGTTTTTATATTCCAGCAACATCTAAGTGTTGAGCAAATTAAACAGGTCTTTTCTCTTTCCCAAGTAGTTTTCATGGGGTGTAACTGGTAAGGTACATGGTGTTCTGTCACAATCTGCAAACTACTTATAAGTTGAAGCTGAAAATAAGAAGACACAACCGTTTCTACCTGACCCATCCCCAACTGTTGAAGTTTCTTTTTTTTTTTTAAACTAAAAATAGGGCAGAGCTGCAAAGCTGGAGGTTAGGATCAAACAGGTGAGCCTGAATTGCCCAGAGCAAAGAAAGGATGATTTAAAATGAATCATATTATACTACATTTTTAATCTTAAGAAGATAGGTGAAGAGACACAGCATAACTACTTTGAAAAGTCAGAAAGGCTATGACTAGAAAGATTATTTCGTTTGTTTTGTTTTGTTTTGTTTTTAAAGCAGCCTGCCACCAAAAAAGCCAGAATAACACACACCTAAGAATACAAAGCAAGTGATTATGAAACTTAAACTCAGGGAGTTAGTTTAGCTTCAGCAGCAGCAGCAGCAGCAGCAAGAAGAGCTTTATCCAATCAGTGCAGCGAGTACCTGCAGGAACAATTAAATCACTTCCTTGTTGAGCCAGTCGACTAGCTGCAACCCTGCTAGGAGACATAACAGATGGCAAAGGCGGTTCTGGGGAACCTGAAAAGGGCAGACATTTCACCGTGAAAATCCTGCTCTCCCTCCACATGCTACACATTCAGAATACAGTTCTACTTACATTTCTTTTAAAATATACCTCAAGACTAGATTAATACTAAGATTAATAAAGTAGATTAAAGACTACAATTAAAATATTGTTTTCTTGAAGAAAAGGACTAATAAATGGATGTTATCAGGCTGAGTTCTTGTAAAAACTTTTCATCGAACTATCAAAACCAAACAAAGCACCTAACTATACAAAGAAATTCGGCAAAGATCACATCTAAACAAGACTTTACCTGGACTTTACTATTTCTAAAATCAATTAAGAGAATGTGACTAAAGCTTCATACTTGGAATGACTTAAAGCTTAAGTAAATACTTCATAACTTACTACTCTTTAATATGAAGGAAAAACTCAAGTAAAAATTCTAAGGGTCATAAAGGATACCATGTTCTTTCTAATCTCTCATAGAAATGTGAATGGATTATAACCTTCATAGGAATCACAGCCTTCAAAGGAATTGTAGCCAAAAATTTCAAATCATAAATTCTGTTCACAGTGTGGATGGAAGGCACTAACAACAATGAAGTCAACTGGAAGTATGTTACCAGGGAAATCTCAGGTCCTGGCCCAGACCTCCTGAATCAGAACCTGCACTATGACAAGATCCTCAGGTGCTTCGTAAATAGGGTACTCTGATGTTTCAGAAGCATTGATGTAGATGATCATAAGAAGGGATTTAGCTCAGGGGTGCCGCTGCCTGCCTCGCAAGCGCAAGGTCCCAAGTTCGATCCTCAGTACCAAAAAAAAAGAAAAAGAAAAAAAAAAGAATAATGCGGGGCTTTTAATATATACTTGGGAAACGAGATCTGTGGATTATCTGCCACTTTGAAAAGCCACTCAGATGATTTTCAAACAATGCCAAGTTTGGGGACCAGAGCGAAGAACACACTGGGTTTTGAATTCTAACCCTAGGTTTAGAAATTCTGGCTCTGTCTACCACAGAGTGTCAGCGCCACCCTGACAGGCTGCCTCCTGTCTCTGGGCCGTAGTCACCCACAGAGCATTAGTGCTGGCCATGCAACACTGCTGCTGCTGCTAATGCCCAGTATTAAATCGGAAAAAGGGGTGATCATTAAAAAGACAGGAAAATAGGAACTATTCTTCAACCTTTAGCTGAGAATATTTCAACGTTTTTAATGTACTTTTAATTACATTCTTGCCCACTTCTCTGGAAAAGACATAATATATCAAATTCATAATTAAGTTTTCTAATAGGAAAGAATCAATATCGACTCTTTACTTATAATTAGTAATAATTGCACATATCCTACATATACAAAATTCTGATCCAGAAACAGCCACTGCTTGTAATAGTATGAAAATGTGAATTTGGACTGGAACTCACATTAAAATTCAAACACAAGTAGACCTAAATGGATTGCCACCACCTTTCAAACCAAGAGATACTCACTATACTTGTTTTTTTTAAATCTGCTGAGTTATTAAAATTTAAAACTAGAGGGGGTGACAGGAACCAGCTGAACTCTTACATTAAACTGCAGGGGAACTGAGGCCCAGAGGTCAGACCAGTCTTCTTGTTGGGCTCAGATATTCAGAATCCACACCATAGTATCTCTAGTATCAGATTCAACACAGGAAACACCAATCCACAAATCACCGGACAAGCTGAAGACCCTATATTAGCTTACCCAGCCCAATAGCCATTTTGAACAAAGACTATCTCTACTACCCAAAGCATAGGGTTTCTATTATAAGTATTTAATAAAAGAAGACTGCTCTAGTCTCATGTCTTGGAACAAGGCTCTGGTGTCCTAATTATTACAGTTTATTAATCTTGCATACAAAATAACACCACAGCACAATACAAGATATGTGAAAAGCATTCATGTAGTAAGCATGGGACCCTGGGTCCAGTCCCCAATACCACAAAAGCAGAATGAATAAATGAATGAATGAATAATGAATTTTGAAATAGGTGAATGATCCAAAAATTGTCAATTTATGCAAAGTAAGCCTTATACCTTTAATTATACTCATAATTTTAAATTATAAAATTTATAATTGTATAAATTTATAACTTTATAATTTATAATTATACTCATACTTTTTATAATTTCATAATTTTTCATAACTTATACTTTTATATTGTATTTTAGGCATTCAGATTTCCAAATGCTATCCCTAAAACATGAATATAATGCTTCAGAATTAAGTACAGATTATTTTTTATAGACCATGTTCTGATTTTTGTTTTCAAGAGTCTACAGAGAGTTTATATGTATAGTGTTAGAATACTGAACAACCTTCTGCCCTTTTTATAGCTTTATCATGGTACCTCAGTTCATGAGTCTAATTGGTTCTATGATTTTGGAAAAGATGGTCATGTGTACATTTGTGTGGGAAAGATAGCCACGGTCGTGTTTGTCACCTGATGCAGAGTTTGTAAACAACAACAAAAAAATCCTGGCAAACGCTTCTGTTTGTGAACCAAACTGTTATACTGAAAATATAGGGTACTATTATCTTCAAGAGGACCAAGAATTGCGAAGGCATGGAGATTATTTCATTTTGTAAAATACAATATAGTATTAAAATTAATATACTTCAATGAACACTAACTATAGGTCTGTCAAGAAAATAATCTATTTTTTTACATTCAAATGTTAATATGGTTTTTCTTTCGCTCATATCAAAATGAAAAAAAATAGAAAAAAGTACAGATAAGAACATTTGCAAAGGAAGCAATTTTTCCCTTTCTATTACACACACACACAGGACATGTGCAGAAAGAGTTCACAAAGCAGGTCTAACTGCCTTTCCTTGAAAATTATCTGCTTGCAGAACTGGCTCTTGATGGGTGCCTGGGAACTCCACTTTTGGGAGGATTCTCTATTTCTGCAAGGATGGGTTCACTTGGCCTTAACTGTTTATACAAACAACGTGTATCATGCAATGTGTTTTACTTAACCATTCCTTCTAGAAGTCTAGAACCTTGATTCTGCTAGAAGCTGATGCTTATGTGAGCAGTCCGGGTAAAAACCCTGCTCAACCAGTCTCTAAATGAGCTTCTTAGCAACATTTTATATATGCTGTCACAACTCACTGCTGGAGGAATTAAGAAATTCCTGAGAGGCTTCACTGAGAGAACCCATGGGCGCTTGCTTATGCTTAGTTTTACCCAAACTTTGTCTCATGAATCTTTCGCCTCTACTGATTATGCTTGGAACTCTTTCACTGCAATTAATCATGGCTATGAGTGTGATGATAAACAGTCTCATGTCCTCCCAGCAAACTGCTGAATCTGAGGTTGGACATTTTAGGTCTTGGGGACCTTCTACGTAGCATGTATAATAAGAAAAATAACAGTTCATTTTTATATTTATTTTGAAATAGGAAATATATATTTATACAAATCAAGTTATAATCTTTGTTGTAAGTATTTTGTGGTTACAAATTTTGTGTTACAAACATCTAAATATATATTATGGTATCATTTTTGAGTTTTTATATCAGTATTTTAAAAACAACATTTAAATAATGAAATTATGCATTTATCTATTTATAACAGATTATTAAAACAATTCCTACTTAAATTCAAGAAAAAAGGATTATGTGTATAATCAGTGTTTTCTCCCAGAATTAAGAGCTCAATTCTTGTGCTTCATTAATAAAAGCAACATTTGGTGAACTTCTCCCTCTCTCCATCCCAGCCATCTTTACAAATATATGTGTTCTTACCTTGATATGCTCCTGCTTCCATAACCTCCTCTTTGGTGCTGTCAAAGCCATGAGATGTAATCTGAGTTTCTGAGAGACCAAGTCCAGATGGCAATGAACGCTTCAAATCCTTAGTAACATTTGAATAAAAGAAAAAAATTTTGTAAAAAAACCCCACAGCACATAACAGTACAGAATAACTGTTCCTTTAATCACATCTTACACTATCTTACTCTCTTCTATGTAGTATTCCCTTATGCTGCCATGGTATTCTAAAATGATATATAAGCAGCAGCAAATACAGGGAAGATTTGCTATTAAGTAGTATAGTGTACGTCAAATATAACATACATTGTTATGGAAGTAGGCAACAGGCAATATTAAAATTCAACTTAAAAATTTTAAGACATATCAGAAAAACTATTTTAAGGAAGGAACAGAATTGAGATCATTGAAATGCCATGTCTAATATTTGGAAGTTGGCTGGTATCTAATATAATCATAAGCCTAGCCAGTAAGTCAATATAAATACATCATTTACTTGCAATGTTAATTTCTCTTCAGTTTCAAGATTAGGTAAACTGGGGTTCTCTGACTTCAATCAGGGTGACGTAAAGGAAATTTCCTTTAATTAGATATGTATTAAACATTGATACTAGCTTAAGTACAAATCAGCTTGCAGTTGAACTTTAACTGTAATAAAAGTAATACTCAACGCCAAGTCTTACAGTTTAAAAATAATAGAAAGCCAAGAAGCACAGTGTCCTTAAGGCACAAACCAAGATTAAACATATTCTAAAACATTTTGTCCATTTGCTTGGCTCATGCATTTTTGCTTTATCTGTTCGACCTTAAATCTCCAACTTTACAGCTTGATTTCCCTTCTCCAGCTAGACACGTATCTGTCCCATTACTGAGTAACTTATTATTGGAAATATGACAAATGGAGGGGACTGTATCTGGGAATGGCTCCATACTCCTGCAGTTCTCAGCCTTGGGATTTTGACATACTAGTGTCTTCACTGGTAGAAAGGTGTGTGTCAAGTGATTTGTTACTAACAGTAGTTGAAAGTTAAATTTTTAGCAACTTCAGTGTGTAAAATATTTAAATTGGGTAGGTCCAAGGTAATCTCCACAACTTCCTCTCTAACTGCGTTACAGTATGCTTTCCGGACTGGGAGATTCAAGGTAGTTTCAGAGGGCGAACAAGATTGCTTAGCACTTTGGCCATCAGTGAAACTGATACCTGAGAATTGGCTCTGATTCTAAATGCACCCATTATTTAAAAAATACCAAGCAATCATTTGGTGAGGCAGTTTGATGTCATGGTTGCAGTGTCTGCCCTAGTCGGGTAAGTCTGAGCTTGAATCCTGGCTAATGGCTGCATAAGCCAGGGAAGTTCTCTCGATTGCTGCGTGTCTTTACTACAAATTGGGATGGCCAGGGACAACACTCCTTTCCTCACAGTGACATAGAAGAAGTACACTGCACAACATCTGGTGCTTCAAATATTAATATCCTTCCCTTTACTAATGTGTAAACAACGTTTTTGGAGATCCAAAGTTATTGCAGTGATAAAAGACTTTCTCATAATTAAAACTGGGCATCATAGGTATTTTCATATCATTTGAAATGATTTTTATTTTTTGAGTGACAAATATAGTAGGATACACACCAAATCATTATTGTACCTCTTCCTCATCCCAGAAGCACTCCCACACTTAGTATTACACTCAGAGTGTCACCTCAATTGCATTAGGGCATGTCTATATCTGAAAACACCATATAATTAACTTCTGATATCCACTGACTTTAAATAGAGCAGCTACCCAGAGGTCACAAGTGTGAGAGAACTGAGATTTAAAATGTACAAATTAGCTGGGTGCACAATGTGTGGGTAGAGATCCAGCCACCCACCCAGGAGGATGAGGTATATAGGAAGATCATTTGAGACAAGGAGTTCAAGGCCAACCTGGGGAGTATAGCAAGAACCTACTTCAAAACAAATAAAAATAATAAAAGAAAATGTACATGCTTGGTATACAAGATGATAATTTAACAGAAACTGTGAGTATGGATAAAGATAAGAGAAAAATGTAGGAAAGACACACTTTAAAGGGAAGGTAATGAGTCTGATACCAAAAGTAAGGAATTCATACAAAACAAAATAGGGAGGAAAAGGCCAGCTGAAGATCATGAATTTTATTAAAAATCAATCAATTCAGTAGTAACAGGGGCATTTTCATAAATAAAAAGAAATTAAAAGTCAGATTGGTCTTTCAGTCATTTGAACATTTCCGAACATCTTAAAAGACCAGAAGCTAGTATATTCTTAGATGCCACTCTACATTCAGTAAATCAGGCTTCTAAAAATTTTAAGGCCCAAATTTTATCTATTATATATAAAATGCAACTCAAAATCTTTCAAAGAGATAAATTCTCTTATAGGAAAAGAGAAACACTGATCTTAGGTGTTAAACAAGTTTCTTGAAACCTTAAATTTGGCTTATTTCCCCTGTGGCACGGACACGAGGTATCACCTGATTTTCATAGTCAGAGTCTATGGACGGATCCTACTGGTTTTCCACAACAATGACAAGTTAGTGATGAATGAGGAGATATCTTTGTCTGTGAAATCCTTTCATATACTACCTTCCCACATATAACATAGTTAAAATTTTACAGCTCAGAACATTCCAACACTTGAGTCTTGCAATCTGCAAAGTCAAAACTGGCAGATGCAGTCTCACCACTGACCTGTGCGAGCGGTGCTTTTCTTGGGAAGCTCACTTAATTTTGTCCAACTGATTAATCTGGAGGGGCCCTGAGTTAATCACTAATGAGATCTTACTTAAGCTCACCAAAGAGCTTATCAATCCACTGGCAAAGTGCCAATTTTGACCTCCTCAAACTTATCAACAGCATTTGCCAGAGGAAAGCGCTTGTTCCCTCCTCTCAACCCTGGCAACATGATGTGCACTGTCTTGATTCTCCTCCTACGTCATCTTGTTTCTGTGGTCTTCTTTGCTGATTCCCCCTCATCTCCCAACTCCAAACCCTACAGTTGCCCTAAGATTCAGTGAGAAAACTTCTTCCCCTACATTTACTTCCTTGTGATCTCTTCCAGTCTTCTGGATTTAAAACTCATCTCCACCCTCACAATTTTGACATATGTTTCTCACCTGCTTTTCTCAGTACCTCTAACTACATACATGCCATTTTCAGAGGTGAAACAGGAACCTTAAATGCAGTAAACTACTGGAAACTGACAGAGTCTGCAGAAAACTCCCAAGAAAGCAAAAGAAAAGCATCTATAGTTTTCACCCCTTTCTGCTCACAGCAATTAATTGTTCAAGTCAAAAATCTAAGGCGTCACTTTTAACTCTTCTTTTTCTCTCATACCTATATCCAAGGTATCAGTAGACCTTACCAAATTTGCCCTCAAAATATATCCAGGATCAAATCAGTACTCCCCACTTCCACTGCCACAACCCTGGTCTAAACTAGCATCCTGTTTCACTTGGATTATCCCAAGTTCTTCCCAGCTGGTCTTGGCTTCTCTCCAGGACACACACCCAGCTCCACACCGCACCCAGAGCTATCCCCTGTAGAATCACCAAATCAAGTCATCTTCTAATCAAAACTCTCCACTAGCTCCTAGTATTAGCTGGAGTAAAGCCCAAACTACTAACATCACATGATTTGGCTTCAGCTCCTACTAGCCCCTGCATGGCTGGCTCGGCTTCAAAAACACTAACGCTACCTCTGTTTTAGGGCCTTTGACTTCTGCTGGAAACACTGGTCTAGCAGAAACTCACAGGGCGCCCTCCCTTACCAAGAGGCTTTCTTATGACAACATGTCAAACAGTAAGGCCCTGGACTCCCACACTGGAATCCCCATTCTCCTTATCTTTTATTGTTCTCACAGCAGTTAGTTATTAAGAGAGGCATGTATAGGATACATTTATTTTTGTTATTTCTAATTACACCGTTAACTTCATGAGAGCATGGTTATAACACATTTTGTTTACTTCTACATAGCAGGACCTGAACAGCAGATGCTCACTAAGGATCGAATCAATGAATGAATGGACTTGCTGAATGAACCATTGGACTTAGGACTCAACACTATACAGATTACGAAGCTGCATAGCAGCTGGTTTATTTTTAAATTAAACTTAGTGAGTGGTTGCTTACTCTTACTATATGCTAGACTTTCTAGGCAAAGAAAAAGATCAGGTACAAACCTTGCCATCTCATTGGACAGACAAAACGCACATTAACATAAAAGCTGAGGTTGGTGCCAAAGTGAGACAATAAGTACCAGAGAAATTCAGAATGGACTAAGTCTATAAGAACCAAATAGGAACCTGAACTCTGAACATAAAGCTTTACTGAATCAACATCTAATGAGAACCAAATTCAAGACAGTCACTGCTCTAGACGTCAAAGATGCAGCAGTGATGGAAACAGAGTCCCTGGCCATAGAGACTCACATTCCAGGGGACTTGGGGCAGGGAAGCAGGGAACTGATAGCAAACAAACAAATGTCAGGCAGTAGTAAGCGCTGAAAAGAAGTAACAAGTGAACTGGGGTTTTGGTTTTTTATTTAAAGGCAGAAAAGAGGAATACAGAGTGGTGGGTCACAGTTGCCACTCTGGATGAGGTATGCAGGGAAAGCTCTCCGAGGAGAAAGTGTGAGCAGTGCTGCTGGGGGACTGGTGTGTTTTAATTACACTGGGATAAATAAAATCAATGCATACTGAACTATACAAAGCAAGAACTGTATGTGTACGATCTCACTTACTCTTGGCAAATGCTCCCATGTCACAGATCAGAAAACCAGAACAAAGAAGCATGTCATTGTTGCTACCAATGTGGTTAGGACCAAGCACACCTCCAGAAACAATACTAACTCTGTAGTAAATGCAAATAGCTACACGCAATTTATTAGAGATTTAGAATGCATTTTGGTAGTATGTTTTCTAAAAGATTTATTCAAAGAAATGCCTTTTAAACATTATTTCAGAAATTACTTGATGGAAATAAGTTGTCAACTTGTAATTTCCTATAGAAATATAAAACAGATGAAGAGCCTTTATTCCATCTCACTTATTTTCTAATGCCACT